GTGTTTCTGCGAGGTGCTCTCAACGCTCTTCACTCACCTGCTTTGGCAGACAGTGGGTTTGATTCATGGATGATCTGCCAGGCCATTCAGAAGACGCCGTGGGTCGCTGATCGTTGGCGCAGAGCGGTCGACAGGATCGAACAGGATCAGAGACGAGACAGAAGAGAAGACGGAGAAATGAAGAGGACTGACCAGAGGCAGGTCAGTTTCAGAGACTTCGTCGAGTTCATCGAATCAGAAGCAAGAATCGTGTCCAACCCTGTCTATGGAAGACATGTGCTCAGTGCTCAAGAGAAGAAGGACACACGACCGCAAGCCACGACCGTGCAGAAAGCACAGCAGCCTGCAAGAAAGGAGATGAAGAATCGGGAGCATCAGCTCCGCCAAGAACGAAGAAGTCGAGCTTACGCAAGCAACATGAAGCAACCGGCCAAGTGTGCCTACTGCGAGCATCCTCATGACCTGGAGACTTGCAGAGCTTTCGGGGCGAAGACTGAGGAAGAGAAGACTGACTACATACGTCAACATGGACTATGTTTCGGCTGCTTACAGGAAGGACATATCTCCAGGAACTGTCAGAAACGAAGCCGCTGTAAGAAGTGCGAGAAGTCGCATCCTACAAGTATGCACAGAGATGCGCTGCCCAACGCCAACGTCGTGACGGCAGGACATGTGTCACAAGAGTGTGAAGGCGGTGGAAGGCTGCAGGTGCTTCCAGTATCAGCCAACGTCAAGGAACGGTCCGTGCTGACTGGAGCCTTCATAGATCCTGGCAGTACGCACTCATTCATCTCACGTAAGCTGGCAAGTCAGTTAGGCATTCAACCAGACGAGAAGACATATGTAGTCATGTCCACCATCAATGGAGAGCGAAGAATGAAGACCTCGTTGGTCACTGGTGTCAGTATTGGAACTGAAGATGGTGGCAACCAAGTTGAACTTCCAGCGTTGTATGTTCTAGAGCACATACCGGTGGAAAAGCAAGACATCGTACGACAAGAAGACATCAGCAAGTGGCCACATCTCCGACAACGTGGAGTTGAAGCTGGTTTTACTGAGAAGACGACATCAAGAGAGATCGGCCTGCTCATCGGTGCAAACGCCAGCGTGGTGTCAGAACCATTGGAAGTGGTGAGCTGCCCAGGCCAGAAGGGCCCCTACGCCGTCAGAACCAGATACGGTTGGCTGGTCTGTGGCGTTGAGGGGAAGAGGGGACCAGGTGCACACGTCGCGCGTGTCAACCGCATCAAGATGCTGGAAGATCCCGAGCTCGAGTTCCTTGACAGCCATGATAGTCGCAGAGGCTACTCAGTCGAGGATGTCAAGTGGTGCCTCAAGGTGGAAGATACATGCAAGAAGGACGGAGAGAAGTACGAAATCGGTCTGCCATTCCGAGATGCGAAACCCGATCTGCCAGACAACAGAGTGATGGCAGCAAGACGACTGGAATCACTGAGAAGAAAGTTCGAGAAGGATCCAAGATATGCAGCTGACTACAAGGAGCAGATGAAGAAGCTTCTGGATGAAGGATATGCTGAGGAAGCAGCACCAGACTCAGAAGAAGGAAAAGAAGAGCGCTGGTATATCCCGCACCATGGGGTGTATCACCCGACCAAAAACAAGCTTAGAGTAGTTTTTGATTGCAGCGCGTCATACAATGGATTGAGTCTAAATGACGTACTCATGCAAGGCCCGAACCTGACGAACTCCCTGGTGGACGTGCTAGTCCGCTTCCGACAAGAGACGGTAGCCTTTACCGGTGACATCGAGTCCATGTTTCTTCAGGTGATGGTACCGGAGAGCGACAGGAACTATCTGAGCTTCCTGTGGTGGCCAGAAGGCGACACTTCTTCAACACCACGTGTCTTCAGGATGACAAGACATCTGTTCGGAGCGACATCCAGTCCCAGTTGCGCGAACTACGCTCTTCATCGGACGGCAGAAGACTTCGGCACAGGATACACCCCCGAAGTGAAGAAGACACTGCAAAGAAGTTTCTATGTGGATGACGTATGCCAATCGACGACGTCAGAAGCCTTCGCTGCGAAGATGGCGCAGGACCTGAAGCAGCTGTGCAGCATGGGTGGCTTCCGACTCACGAAGTTCAACTCCAACAGCACCGAAGTTCTGAGAGCGCTATCAGAAGATGACAAGGGAAAGACTGAAACTCACCTTGGACAGGAAGCCTCTTCAAGCGAGAGAGTCTTAGGTGTACTCTGGGATACTCACAGGGATGAGCTTGGATTCAGCATCGACGTAGACGCTCTAAACAGAAGACCACGTACTCGACGCGGAATACTCTCCGCGACCGCAGCCTGTTACGACCCGTTAGGCCTGGCTGCTCCTCGCGTTCTTCAAGGACGGATGATTCTTCAGGAACTGACGCGTCTACGAACCGGCTGGGACGATGACATTCCCAATGAAGTTGAAGAAGAATGGAACAGATGGCTGAGTGGGTTGAAGTCCCTGCCAGACGTTCGCGTGCCAAGATGTTATGATCCGTATGGCATAAGTGCCGCGGATGCAGTGAGTCTGCACCACTTCAGTGACGCCAGTCTGAAGGGCTATGGCACCGCGTCATACATACGCACTGTGCGCGGAGATGGCGAAGTGTTCGTTTCCCTGGTTCTTAGCCGAGGCCGAGTCGCTCCGCTCAAGGCGATTACGGTCCCGCGTCTTGAACTAGCCGCAGCCAAGCTTGCCGTAGACGTGAACCAAGAGCTCTTGCGAGCACTGGACATGAAGATCCATGACGTCACCTTTTGGACGGATAGCACGACCGTGCTGCGTTACATCGAGAACGAGACCTCGCGCTATCACATCTATGTGGCGAATCGACTTGCTGCGATACACGCTGGATCGAAGAACGAACAGTGGCGGTACGTACCCTCGTCGCTGAATCCTGCTGACATGGTTTCAAGAGGAGTACTGCAAGACAGCGACATGTGGTACAACGGCCCGCCATTTCTCAGGAGCTCACAGGAGAATTGGCCAAGGTCTCCGTGCGTCGGTGAGATTCACCCGGATGACCCGGAAGTGAAGCAAGCGAAGACAAGTTCGGCAGCTGTCGTTGTGCAGAACGAGAAGGCTGACAACTCCAGCGCCAATCCCATCGATCGTCTGATTGAATATCATTCGTCATGGAAGAGACTCACGAGAGCGGTGGTATGGATCCGCCGAACGATCAAGACTCTGCAGCTGAAGGCCAGAGACGAGCAGGGAGCCTCGAATGTGAGGGAACTCACTCCTGCTGACATAGAAGATGCCGAGAGGATCATCGTGAAGCATGTTCAGAAAACTCATTTTCTGCAAGAACTGACTGACCTGGGAGTGGGACGTGAGGTGCGATGTGCCAGTCGTCCGTCGCGGCTGAGCCCATTCGTGGAGGACGGTCTCATCAGGATGCGCGGACGCTTGATGAACTCTGCGTTGGACTGGGCTGCCAAGCATCCTCTGATTCTCCCAGACAAGGACAAGGTAACTGACCTGATCATCGCTGATCGTCACGAGAGGGCAGGACACGAAGGACGCCAGTATGTTCTTTCTGAACTCAGGACTCGATACTGGGTACTGAAAGGGAACAGCGCAGTACGACGGTGTTTGCACAGATGTGTGAAGTGCAGAAGACGACAGCGCCCAGTTGAGGGACAGAAGATGGCAGACTTGCCACAGGATCGTGTAGAGGAGGCCACTCACCCGTTCAGTAGCACTGGTGTAGATTACTTCGGGCCGCTATACGCCAAGAGAGGTAGAGGTCAGGTGAAGAAGTTTGGAGTCATTTTCACATGCCTCAGCACGAGAGCCGTGCATCTCGAGCTCGCAGACAACCTTTCTGCGGACTCATTCATTTGTGCCTTGCGCCGCTTCATTGCAAGACGCGGGAACGTTCGCTTGATGCGTTCCGACAGGGGAACGAACTTCACAGCAGCAGACAAGGAGCTGAAGGAAGAAGTTGATGCACTGCACGCGAACGAAGAGAAGTTGAAGAGAGCGATGCTGGACAAGGGCATCGAGTGGATGTTCAACGTTCCTGCCGCTTCCCACCACGGCGGTGTGTGGGAGCGTCTCATTAGAGGCGTCCGGAAGATCCTGAATGGTCTGTTAACCAGCCAAACATTCACAGAAGAGACGTTGCACACACTCTTGTGCGAAACCGAGTGCATCATGAACAATCGGCCGCTGGTGCCGGTTTCGTCGGACCCTCGTGACGAGGTGCCTCTGACTCCGAATCACATCCTGCATTTGAAGTGTGTGACACCGGTATGTGATTCCTCAAGTGAAGATGACCTAGATGGACCCAAGAGATGGCGACAAGCTGCTTACCTAGCTGAGCAGTTTTGGCGTTCGTGGAGACGGCTATACTTGCCTCTCCTGCAGCAGCGATCTCGCGCTGCCACAAGAAGTCGGACGAACCTGCGGATCGGTGACGTCGTCGTCATGGTAGACGAATCGGTACCACGCGGTGTGTGGCCGCTGGGCCTCGTGAAGGAGACCCTGATGGGTAAGGACGGGCGCGTGCGCTCTGTGAAGGTGCGCGCTCGAGAAACCATGTTCCTGAGACCTGTCACGAAGGTAGTGAAGATTCTGGGCGCAGAAGAGCAGTCTTGGTGAATCGATGGAGCTGCAGCTACACTGTATAACACAGCATGAGTCTAGCAGCACACCGCTAAGTCATTAACACCGGACACTTAAGATCATGACACGCCACACAGGCTCATGATACAATCACAATGATAGACATCAGGAACGGTGCATGTATATAGGATGCGTTCTACTTGCGTGTGTTGATGCTGATCTCAGCGACGCTTGTTTCGGTAGGCTGTGCAGTGTGCCTATGTGTTGTTATATGTAGGTATAGTTAAGAAGTTGGTTTTGAACCTGGATGGTTCAAAGGGGGCGGGTGTTAGCGCCGCACGGCCCCCAGCGGCGGTGCCGTTGCGACGCCGCTCAGCGGCGGTGCCCTCCGCCTATGGTAACTACGCTATGTTGCTATGGTTACCGGATTGTTTTGTTTTGTTTACTTTCTTTCGGCTCGATTTTGACAATGTCTGGCTAGAATCTGAATAATTACGAAACATAAAGACAAAAGATGTGATTGATGACTTGCAAAAATGTTGTTTGAGTGAAAAGGAAGAATTTTGGTTATGAATTTAAGCATGAACACTGTTCGTTACGCCGGAGAGTGACAATTTGTCGGTAAGCACTAAATCGTACCAAATGTCGGATGTTATTGTGAAGCGCTTTGCTTATTATTCTGAAATTATCGTGATACGACTGAACAATGTTATGATACGGATTTATTTGTCTGGAACTTACCTTGTTTTGTTTGTGTGTATGCGTGTTTTAGTTACGGCTCGGCTCGGCTCAAGGCTCCTGGCTCCTGGCTCCTGTTGTACGAGGCTCTGTGGCTCGGCTCAGGCTCCTGGCTCCTGGCTCCTGGCTCCTGTTGTACGAGGCTCTGTGGTATCGGCTCAGGCCGTTAGCGCTGGAAGAAGGAGGAGGAATGGAGGAGAAAATATAGAGGACTGAGAGCCCGTGAACGACGTTTCTCATTGACGGCGCGCGAACACTTTAATCATCTTTTTTTCTGTTCCAGACAAGAAGCATTGAAATCTTTGTAACAGAGCTACTTAAAATGAATCAAAATGGGTAAGTTGTCAGGCTATTTGAAAGTGATTGTTGTATGATGTTGTGTCTTTGTGGCTTTGCCTTTATATTATATGCAATTATCAACATTTTCTGCCAATTTTCATAGTGGCATTACCTGTTTCCACTAATTAGCATGACACTTCTGTTGTGTAAAATTGTCGGTTTGCCACTGAGCATTACTTCTTTTGAGTTTCTTCTCAGCTTTCATACATCAAGTTCTGAAGGTAACATGCATCTTATTAATTTCTGAAACTGGCAATGTATTTGTTAGATATGTATTTCTTTATAGCAGCTGAAAATTTCCAGACAATAAAAGCAGACCATGTGTCTATAAGCAAAGCCTTCTGTATGTCACAGCACTAGGCATGTGTTCCAAAACTGTACCTTTACTTGGATTTTGGAGAGATATTTGATTCTTGAAAAGGGAAGTAGAGTAGAAATCAACATTCTAAACTCAGCTGCACTTTATCTTAGAATGACTAAGAATTGACATTGTTTTATTGTCTTTTCATTTCTCTAGCTAAAACGTTTTTGCTACAATAGCTGTACTGGCTCAAACATTCAAACACATTTTTGCTATAGCAGCTGCCCTGCCCCTGACCTGGGGAAACTGGGAGTGAAAATCTAGTAGAAGTGAAAATGCAAACTTTTTGTTGGATAATGACTTCCACCAATCACCATATTTACCAACTACCACAGCACATCTTTCCACCCCTATCCCTCCCCCTCCCTCCCCCAGGAGCGGCGGCGGCGTTGGCGGCGGCGGCAGTGTGTACGGACGGATGGGCGGCCCGTACGACCGCTGGGTGGAGCCCACCGACCGCTCGCCGCTCGGCCGCGTCCAGCAGCAGTACTGGACCACCAAACAGACGCTGATGCGCAAACTGGGCAAGAAGGAGGACGAGCATGTGGTGGCGTCAGACTCTGAGCTGGACGCCAAGCTGGAGATGTACAGTAGCATCGACGAGACGTGCCTGGACTTGGACCGGCTGCTGGGCTTCTACCAGGACCAGCTCTGCGGTGAGCGGCGGCGGGCTCCCGGGGTGTTTTCAGGGGCTTTAGGCCAGTGGGTGGGACCAGGATTAGGAAGCAATTACATATAGTGGTCCGACAGTCAAAATACCTTTATCCTACTCTTTATCTCTTTTCATGTTTTTATTGTAGCTAATTCAAAGTTCACTTATTAAAGAAAAGCCATTATCATCTTGGTGCCCTTGCATTTTCCTGATATTCTATTTATATTACTTCATAGTGTCCTTTAACTCAAGTGTTTGCTGTCGTTAGACCATGGACAATGAATACCATCCCTACAACCACCAGTCTCACTCCCTCCCCATCCCCCAGTGTTATCGCAGGAGGAGAACAGCCTGGGCCGCTTCCTCAAGGAGCAGGGCAAGGAGGACAAGACGCGCGCCGGCAAGATGATGGTGGCCGTGGGGAAGACGATGTCGTACACGGCGCAGCAGCGGCTGGCGCTTCGCTCGCCGCTGCTGCGGCTCCACCAGGTGGGTGCTCAGTGGCTGAATGGCTGGCGGCTCGCGGTGATAAGGTTGTAGCGGGGGATCATGGGATGGGGCTAAGCTGAGGTGCGCGATGCTGGCTTTGCTTACTGGTGAGGATGGAAGTCGGACGTTGTTTTGTCGGTAGAAGTATTTGGTTTCGTGTATGCAGTGAATATGATGTTTGTTTTTCAAGTCATTTAGACGCGCACTTCGATTGTGCTGGTTTAACTTCAATGGGGAAAAGGGTTACCATTGTGTAGGAATTGGTGCCTTTGAGTTTTCGCCAAACAAAGCTAATGGAAGCTGCCATAATCCGAACAACAGTTTGATAAAATACGGGTATTCCCGCTGTTCCTTGATTGGGGCATTTGATCGGCGAACTAAACCTGGTCGTTCAGAGAGATTAGATGCTGTATACTGAATCCCGAGCTCTTTGCAGAGATCAGCTTATGCAACATGCATCGTTTGCTCTTAGCTCCCTGCATATATGTTCGACCGCGTTTGGAAGTTGCTTGAAAGAAGCTCGTTGGTTAGCTTCGCTGTTTGTGTAACACCAAATTGCGTGCTGATGACTCGTAATCCTCAACGACTGATGCTCATCAGACGTCTGCAGGCAAAGTTTTTGAGCTGAGACTCGCTGCATTTGGTCCTGTAATATTGTTTTGACTTGTACGTCCGAAAGTACTGGCGTCTTGACTTGTTATAATGACAAAAAAAAAACGCTATCATCCTGCCATAACGTCATCGTTTTCCGTCCCGCCCGTGACCGTCTCCTGTCCGTATTGTCTCACTTGTAAATATAGCCGGTTGTCTGATGAAAACTCTGATGGCCAACAATGCAGTCCAGCTGTCCAACACCAGCAGCAGCTGGTGTCCCTCCCCTCCCCTAACTACTTCAACCTACTTAGCTACTTCAACCACCCCCTAGCAGTATCCTATCAGGCCATCCTGTCTATTTCTATTCTATCTGGCCTGCCTAACTCCCCAACTCTAACCCCTAACTCCTCCTCACTCCAACTCCTCAGGAGGTGGAGACGTTCCACAACCGTGCCGTCAAGGACACGGCTCAGACGGTGCGCACGATGGAGAAGGTGCGCACCGAGTACCGCGGAACGCTGCTCTGGATGAAGGACATCTCGCAGGAGCTCGACCCCGACACATACAAACAGCTCGAAAAGTTCAGAAAGGTAAGGAATCGAGCTCGAACCAGACACCTACCCAAACAACAAGAGAAGTTCAGAAAGGTAAGAGAAGGAGACGCCGACCTTAACGAGCAGCTGGAGAAGTCCAGAAAGGCAAGGACGGGAGACGCCGGCACTTACAAACGGTTGGAGAAGTTGAGAAAGGTAAGGATGGGAGACGCCGACACTTGCAAACAGCTGGAGAGGTTTAGAAAGGTCTCGAATTCGAAAGAGGCTCAGAAAGGACTCGGGCTCGAGCCAAACACCTTCAAACGGCTGGAGAGTCATGGAGAAGTTCAGAAAGGTAAGTGCAGGAGACCCCGGCTTTTACAAACGGATGGAAAAGTTGAGGAAGGTATGAGTGGACAGCTTTGGACAGCTTTGCTCGACCCAGACAAACAGCTGGATTTCAATTTCAGATTTTTGGAAAGGTGAGGGTGTACCCCGCGCCTACAATCAGCTCGGTAACTTCGGAAAATGTGTGTGATGGAATATCCACAGACAGATGAGGAAGTTATTCAGAAAGCCGGGCAATGTTCAAGTAAAGAAATGTAAACCTGGGCTGGAACTTGCACATATCACGTCCGCATATAAAGGTGAACTGGAAAAGTTTAGGAGGGTAGGTTGCGCGCTATTATCAACTAGCGAACAAGTTTATGATAGATATGTCCCCAACCGAACACCGGTGAACAGTTGGCTAAGTTATGAAAGACAAGTTCGTTCATAATATATGCCTCCGGGAGATGGTCAAGTTGAAGGATGTGAACCCGGGCTGGAACTCGCACAAATCACACTATACTTTCAGTCAGACGAGTCTGAGTATCCACAGTCCGGGCGTTGGATGCAGAGGAGTTCGGTAATTGTGCGGCGAGCTGGCGACAGGTGCCTGCCGTGCGGTGTTGTTGGGGAGAGAGGCAGGGATTCGCATTGTGATGCGATACCTGTGATAGTACAGATAGGGGAGAGGACTGGGGTGGGGGGTGGGGGGTTGTAATGAGCCACACCTGTTCTCGATTTATATTTGGCTCGTTAATCTCGGACAGGATACAAGATGTTTGTGTGGGGAGTATTCGGGGAAGGAATCGAACTGTTCTGGGCTTCCGTGACCGTCTCGTATTGTCGATATGTTACCGGAGCTGAAGGTCAGACAGGTTATTATTTCCCATAGCGATATTGGATGCGGTGTCTCCTCACCATTTATAATTTATATCATAGCTGGTGTCTGCAAGTGCGGGGAACATTCGGCCTCGCGGATAGCGGGCGGATACGCTGCATTTGGCCGTTTCCTGAATATGTTTCGTCTACCGCTCCCCGTGTGTACCGTATACGCCCGAGCTATCATGCCTCCGAGGGCCGTTCCTCATCGACTTCTGCCGGGCGGAGTGTTTCACCCGGCCGGCCCGATCGGGAATCGAACATTAAGACAGCGCAGCTAAAAGCTTCGATGAAATCTGGCCTCGTGACTTTGCCGTCTTAAAAGCATCTTCTCCCGGGTCGCCGGCGGTGGCTGGCCGCTGGTTTGGAAGTTCAGGTCGGCTGCTTTAATGGGCTCCGTTTCCAGCTGGCGCGAGTCACGATGCCGGCCGGCGGCCAATCTGCATCGGTCCGGATATAGGTCGGGCGCTCATTGTCCGCGTCAAACTCGCCGCCCGCTATGGACAAAGTTTGGTCGGAATCGACGATTGGTTCCGAGTTTGGCTGATATCTGATCTAGTGTGTCTGAAGTATCAGGGAATCTCAGTTGAGGTGAGCGAACTCTAACTGCATTGATATTTGCCGACTTAGAAACTTCGTGATGTTCTGTAGATTTCCGATTGTACATTGCAGCTTTTCTAATTATAGTATTACTTTCTTTTTGTTGAACTTATGCCTAATACCAGAGCAAGTTTTCACTAACCATCCAGCCGCTCGGGCTTGTCCTCAGCGCTCATTGGTAGCGCATAGCACCATCGCATCGCACCTCATCGCCTCCGCCCTCACCGCCACCACCGTGTTCCGCAGGTCCAGATGCAGGTGAAGAAGAACAAGCAGCGCTTCGACAAGCTGAAGGTGGACTGCCTGCAGAAGATCGACCTGCTAGCCGCCTCCCGGTGTAACATGTTCTCGCACGCGCTGGTGCTCTACCAGGACGCGCTGCTCCAGTTCTGGGAGAAGACGGCGCGCACCATGAACCACGTGGCAGAGAGCTTCAAAGGTCAGTGAGAGGACAGAGAGCTTCAAGGGTCGGAGGGAGGGAGGAGGGAGAGAGGAAGGTACACGAACTCACAGTTCTCAAATCTCGCCACCCCGCGATTAGCCCATGTCCTATCGCTTCTGTGTTCATTGAACTCCCCATCAGAATCGTATATTCCCACCTGAACTATGACAGCTGTATTTCTCCTGTGAACGGTGTTTTGTCGAAGACATGCCATAGTCCTTTTTTGCGCGAAAGGGAAGCTGTCACCGCATAGTCAATAGGCATCGTGTCAACTTACAGAGAACATTGGTGTTAAATGTTAGGCCTGTGTGAAGCCCATTTCACTCACCATTTGGGCTCCAGAAACTATACCCCAGCATTGTGTTCCCAACTGGGCGAATCCATCTCCACCTTCCCGTCTTACATCCTACCTGTTTCGCCAGTCACCAATCGCCATTCACTTCCACCAGGCTACCAGTACTACGAGTTCTCCGTCATCAAGGAGCTATGTGAACCGTCCAGACAGTTGGCGGACCGGACCTCGTCCTCTCGGCCCGCCCCGGCCCAGCCGGCGGTAGGGGCGGCCGCGGCGGCCCCGGCGGAACAGGACGGCGATAAGTGAGTAGTGGAGACGGGGTGGAAGTAGGTAGAGGGCTGCTGGAGGAGGGAGAGGGGTACTCGAGTGGGAGGGAGGTGTAATTAGGTGGAGAAGAGGGGAAGCCGAGTGGTGTGGTGTAAGAGTCTGATATAGGTTCTGAAGGAGGGGAGATGTGGCTAGGATATTTACGGATGAGCTGTGCTGGGAGATGGGATGGTTGTGTTCTCACTGGGAGAAATATTGACTGGAATTGGATCGCTTTTTATGGTTACCCAGGGGGCAGGGGTTAAGTTTTGATTGAAGAGATAATTGCTAATAATGAACCGAGACGGAACACTGATGTTGGCAGGTTCGGGTCCTGCAGCTCCGTCCTTCTTGGTATTGCGTTGGTTTATTCTGAGTTTTTGTTTATTTCGTCTATTTTATTTTTCTGTTTTCGTCATCGAAACGTTCAGTTCACTATTTTATGTTACAGGACATGACACCAGCAAGACGCCGAATACGTTTGATTTTTGGTATGTTAATTTACTTGATTTTGCCTGCCAGCTTCTTCGCACATTTCTAACACACTGAACCCGGCTGCTGCAGCTAACAGCATCCGCGTCGACTAGCGTAACAGGTCGAACATCTAGCCATTTCCTAATAATGTGCACCGTCTCATTAGTCCGCGCGGCTCTGAATGCGAATGGTGGAGGGAGTGGCTCTAGATCATAATCACTGACCTACTAACCAGCCCCCCCCCCTAACCTTCGAAAACGCATGCCCTCAGTTGGTACAAGCGCCAAGCATAGCACTAACATCCGAGAAGGCCAAACACTCATCCGCAGTAATGACTTTCGGTAACAGAACTCGTGCACGCAGGCCTTGTAACCAACAAACACTCGCTACTAACTATGGGGTAACGACACGCCACCTCTCTAACCCAGATCATATCGTCTGCGCCCGTCAGCTTACCCAATAAACGCGGCACTGCGCCGCCGCCGTGGCGCCGTGGGAGTAGATTGCTCGTCTCTCATCAGCCCTGATAGTGCTGTATACCGCCGCGTCAAGTCGCGTTGGCGTGACGAATTCTCCTCAGCGAGTCGCGCTGCCCGGTCGCCCCTTATCTGAAGAGCCCTAGCAGAGCGCTCGTCTACGGGCCGGTCGAAGCGTGCGCCAGGAAATGAACTGGTTGAGCGGGCCGAGACGATGCCGGTTTGACGAGCGTGATTTACAGACGGAGTGTCAGTGTAAAGTGTTGTTGTTTCCGTATGGTGAGATGAAGGTCGCAGCGGATTGCTGAACATACACTCAGAAGTAGAACTGGGTTGAATGTTGAGAAGCTTTGATAAGCAGCAAATCACAAAAAGCAAAGTGCTTATGTGAACAACGCTTCGCTACTCTGCTAGGTCCTCTCGGCTGGGTTTCATTCGTGGTTCGGCAACTTTCCATTTGATATTCTACGTTTTAGCGATACTAATGAGAAGCTTTTGTTGGTTTTGTCTTTTGCTTGATCTTCAACAGTCGCTGGCATCAGTTTTATTGATGCTATCTTCCAGATCCACACATAAACACTTTCTGACTTACATCGCGTCGCCGAGCTACCATCCTGCAACATTCTTTATCCTCTCACTTCCTACTAACCGCCCTTACCTCCCATTCCTCCGTAACGTCTCCCCCACCCTCCTCACAGACTCATCTCGCTCGATCTGGACCAGCCGGACGATGACGCCGAGACTGACGCGTCATCAGCGGCGGCGGCGGCGGCGGCGGATGACGACATGCTGCTGGACCTGGGTGGTGAGGAGACCGGCCGGGGCTCAGAGGAGTCGGGTGGACAGCGGCAGTCGCACCGACCGCTCCGACACGCCGGTGAGAACGGGGGTGAGAATGGATGCTGGTTTATACCTTGTACTTGACTATTTTGGGCCTGAAATGTGGTTCGTGCTATCAGATTTGGCCGAATCAAAGACCAGATATATGAACTTTCATCAATCTACCTCTAACGTGTTCAGACGATCGCAAAGACACCTTAAGGCGGAAGGGGGAGGAGCTGGCACCCTCAGCCGGGAAGGACGGAGGTTTGTCCTCCACGGTTCCCCATCCATGCACCGCCTGACCAACCCTTCCCGTCCCGCCCCCTCCACTAACCTCCGCCTGTGTGTGTCAGGCGGCGGCGGCGCTGCCGACCTGCTCACCCACCACCCGGAGATCCCCGACCTGGAGAAGGAGGACCAGGAGCTGCTCGAGGAGATCCTGGCGGCCCCGTCGGCCGCCGCCGCCGCCGCCCAGCCGGGCCTGTGGCACACTGAGGGAGCACAGGAACCGGCACAGAGCGGCGGGCACGAACTGCAGGTGAGGGCAGAGAGGCGGTTTGGAGGGGAGAGGGGGGGGGGGCGGGGTGGATATCGCTGGTTGGTAGCTGAAGGGCTTGTGTGATCGGGGAACCGGCAGGCTGGATCGTCTGGCACAAATCAAGTCGATTGCTGAACTGAATAACGCAGTAAACGACATCATTGGGCGCTTTCTAGCTGTTTGAGGTGCTGTGTTCATTGCATCTGCTCTTTTTAACGTTATTGTACGTCTCTATACTGTATCACAGCCCCACTGGTACTCCCTGTCGGTGACGGGACCGCGGTATCCGTCTATGGACCGTACCTTCCTCCTTTATCCGCTGGTCCCGCCGGTGACCTCTCCCCGTGCACCCTTTCAGGACGTGTTCGGTGGTCTGTCCCTGGGCGGAGGCGCCCAGTACCAGTCCTCGGCGTTCATGCCCTCTCAGCTGTTTGGCTCAGGTGAGGGAAAACTCTAGAAACTGTGAGACAGTAAACTAAGGCAGAGGTTTATTCAGAGATGTCTTGGCTTTGTATGTTTTTCGTTCTGGGTGTGTTTGTGAAAAGGTAAACTTTTAGCAGGTCTGATTCGTAGTAGTTTCAACACCAAAATCTTGTTTCGAAGTTTCCATAATCGCATTCTGAACTTGGCCTGACGTTGATTGTTGTGCCCCTGTCGGCTGTTCCAGGAGGTCGAAGTGCGGCCGGCGTCGCACAGATGGCAGCACCAGCAGGAGCCGCCGCTGCGGCCCCCGTTGCTTCCCAAGGACCCGTACCCCAGCCGAAATCTGCGGCGGATAAACAAAAGGTAAGCTAACGTTTGGGTCTGTCGAATTGCGTGCTAATATTTGTTTTGCAAAACAGCGTACTTTCAGCGGGACTGTTAAGGTGTTGTGGTTCCTCCACTCATTAACCGCAGTACCGTTGAGTCCTGATACCCAGGAAGTGGGATGACTAATCAGCTGATTTCTGATCAACTCGTGCCCAGCTGATGAACTCATGGACTCCCATTGTCCTCCACATCGGGTTTCACCCTCCCACCCACACCCTACACACATTCACGCACACACAAGCGTTACCATGACGCTCCTGGTAGTCCCTCGACATCACCCCACCCGTCCGTCCCCTCAGGACATGTCGGCGTGGTACAGCCTGTTCGCCGACCTGGACCCGCTGGCCAACCCGGACGCTGTCGGAAAGAAAAAGGGAGAGGAGGACCGCAACTGCTAGCCACAGCGGCGTGCAGACACCCGCACACACGCACACGAACACACCGCCCGGCCCGCCGGGTCGGCCGGCGCGGCACTGGGTTGCTGACAACCTGGTGAGGGTTGGAGATGGCTGGCGTGTCTCGAGGTTCGCCGGGGCATATCCGAGGAGGCTAGTATGACGATGTTCGAGCTTGACGTTCACCGATGAACAGTGACCATCGAAAAACCGCCCAGGGACTCAGAAAGGCGTCTTGGCAGTTACGAAATCAGATTCATGGACAAACCAGAGGCCGCTTCTACCGTTCTGAGACTCAGCAAGAGTCCACTCGGGTGGAATAAGGCCATTGTCATAGGCTGGTCGGGTCGAACCGAGACCCAGGGGGCTGCCCGCACTGGTCCGCGGCAGTGACAGTGCTGCGAACTGGCGGCAAGGAGTTGCGAGAGGCAGCGTGGTGTGCAATTGTGCCCTGGAGGTAACGTGTGATGCGAGAAACAGTTATCTGCGCACTATATATCAGTCGACGGGCTGGTGTCCCGGCCGCGCGCTGGACATGGCCGCTGTATCGCTAACTTGGTCCCTCCTTCCCTTCTCCGTGTTGTTGGCTGCTTTGTTTGTTCCGTACGCCAGTGCAGACTAAATCTGGTGCTGTCTCAGTCGCTGCGCGGAACTGTATCTCGACTGGTGTGAGTTTGCGTGGAGGGGTACATTTATACCGTGTGTTGGGCTATCAGGTACGGTGCGTCCGCGACTCGAAATCGTCTGTATATCTCGTTTGTGGACGGGTGATGACCCTCTCTGCCCCCCTGCGGTGCTCGGAGGTGGCGTAAGTCGTATCCCCGGCGCCTGTCGCTCCTCCTGCCCCGTTTGTACGTGGAGCGGGCTCAGAGCAGTCTCTGAACAGAGGCCTTCGCGCATCTAGTCTATATTTTGGATAGTTTGCTCCTGTTTTGTTTGAATCCTATCATGCTTTAATTATCTGGCTGTTGTGATATATTATCGCCGAAATCGACTTCGGCATAGGTAATACAGATGTGGTATTCGAATGAAGATGTGTTATGCGGGCGAGAGAAGTGGCGCAGTGCGAACGTAGCTAATTCTGGCAGAGGTTTGAAGTGAACCTTCGCTTCCCCGGGTACAAAGCCTCAGTTCAAATCTTACCCTAGCTCCCTTCCTCCCTAGGTTCACAACTTTCCAGGTCCGAAACTTTTCATTGACCTTATTGTCACAGTGAGCTAAAAGAGTTCACATCCTCCCAACATGGCGTGCTACGGAACCCCGGACGGTAATCGGAGCTATTTGTTTGGTGTATTGGGCTGGATGTCCATCTCTGGTGCACCCAATCCAACCCAGCCTAATGAAACTCAACATAGCCTATCCAAACCCGAACCCGATTGCGAACACCGTAACACTTGATAGACATTCGGTGCTTATGGCCTGATGTACAGCCCTGCCCTCTGCAAACTGCGTGGTAGGTATTCTTTTTTCGACAAAACCGAGAATAACGCGAATACTATGCTATCGGGCACACGGAAATCGTAACAGCAAGATGCGCGAGACTCCGCAGCTTAGATTGGCATTATCATCGTATGCATTTTCCATCCAGTTTGGCAACAAAACCCAAAAGTTTATATTTGCCCCCAAAACGAACTTTTACATTTTGTTGCCACACAAGGCGTATGCTTTGTTTATTGATAGGCCCTATCGAAGGAGTGGAGCATGGCGCATCTATTTGCAGTGAGTTTCGACCGACTGATAACATGACTTTTGAATTATTATCAGTTTTGTCGGAAAAAGAATACCTACCACGCAGTCTGCTGAGGGCTGTACATACATGGCCTGATTACCATAGTTATATAACATTGTGATGACATGGCAGCTCTTCCATCGCAGCACCATTCAACTGGCAGTCTTTTCACGTCCACACATCTGGTTAGAACTAATATTTATTATTCGCAGAGTAATACATTGGTGATCTGTCTCCCAGATTCGATGCGGGCAACGCGCCCGTCCCACTAAGCAAATCATATACAATGGTATCCGTCCTGCGTCCGCCATCGATATCGGCGCACCAGGGACATAGGACGCGCGTCACACACTTCACGCCAGGTACAGTCGACTGGAATGTGGGCGTGTGCGGGGGCGGGGGGCGGGGCGGCGGCTGAGGTAGGCGGCGCGCGGGCGGCGTCGGCCGTGGGCCGGCGTGGTCTCCCCGCCGCGCCGGCCGGGGGTCGGCCGGGGCCGCCCGCAGCCCGCCGGGACGCGCCCCGCCAGCCGCCGACTGTCGCGCGGCGCGCGCGGCGGCGTATCACAGCGAAACTTTGGAGTCGGGGTGGGCGCCGCCGGCCGGCGCCGGACCGGGACCGGCCGGCCGGCCGGCGTCACTCAACACTAGCTAAATTAGGTGCTCCGTATCTCATACATCCCTGCAAACACACAGAGGGGATAGACCGGTCAGCCACGCTGGGATTTGTGCTAAACTACGAATGGTCAAGGACGGTTCGCAGTTCCTGTTACACCTATTGCACAAACGTCCGGCTAACCTAACACCCATCCTTGGACCCATCCATGGATCCATGGATGCATCCATGGATACATCCTTCCATGTCTCCCGCGGTACTAGCTTCTTCGGTCATAACACCAAACTTTCATCAACGTTCATCTTCCCACCATCCTCGTGACCCCACATATCCTCCAAAGCACCACAAGTCCAACCACCTCAACACCCCTCCCTGTACAGTCTGTCTTAAAAGTACCGCGCAAAGTGACGGTGGATCCATCAAGCCTGACCGATGAAGGACTGCCAAATTTGAGTCACCGAAGCAATGGACATCCTCGTCCATTCCCCAGCTCCATTGGTTCGGTGACTTTCAAATTACAGCAGGCCCTTCCTCGGTCAGGCTTGATGGATCCACCGTCACTTTGCGCGGTACTTTTAAGACAGACTGTACCCCACTATCCCTCCCGGTCCACTCACGAGGCGCGTATAGTGCTGTCGCTGAGCAGAAATTCGAACTGGTTCCACTGCGGCGGCGTGGCGGCCGGGCTCGCCGCCGGCGACGGCTGCTCGTCGGCCCCGTCGTCGTCTCCGTCGTCGGCCGTCTCCAGCGCCGTCTGGCCGGCCGGCGAGCCGTCGTTGACGGTGATTTGTACACGGGACAGTACGCCGTCGGGCGCCTCCGATATGTCGATTTTCACTCCGCTCTGTGGAGGAGAGAGGGAGCAGGTTATTATTGTGGGTTGCGCTGCATATTGAACATATAGCATCCTTTCATGCAGCAGTGTGCTGTCCTGTGCGCCAACAAACCAAAACCAGCGTGACATCCATATGATAGCGTAAATCGAACCACGAAGTTATTCAGCAGGGCAACATTCATTCATACTCATACAATCATTCGTTTCTGTCACGGCGAACTGCCGTGAGACCCGCGCCACTCACATCAGTGTTTTGTACGCTGGATGAGACGCACGAGACGCCCGCGCAGCTCAGCTCGTCCGTCGAGATGTATGTGGTGGAGATGTGCGGGCTCAGCTTCAGACGCTGCGCCAGGTTTGTCGCCTCCACCAGCGTCTGCGCCGGGTCCGTCTCTGCAGGAAGATAGAGTGAACGGTCAGGGTTAAAGGCTAAGGGTATAGGGCCAGGGGAGCCACCAGGGATGGTCAGAGCTCATGGGCAGAGGGAGCTCATGGGCAGATAGCCGCCCGGAGACACCAGAGGTCAGAGGATAAGCTGGTTGGAAGGTCGTGGACAATGTATGGAACACCGAAAGATTACATCGCTAGAAGATTTCTCAAGATGTTTGCTCTGCTAATAGGATCTTAAACAAGTTTACCCACGATGTTGGATCATGTTTACAGACACAATGGGCCCTTCCAACGTCCTAACACTCGCGTCTCATATCACCAAAGCAAAGTTCACGACAACACACTGAGCGAGAGCACCGTCACTTGTCACAAACGACGTCAGCGCGAGCAATACCATCAGCGATGCTTGCCCGGCCACCCACGCTGGCTTAGTTCACCCCGGCGGCGCTTGGCGACGCCACTGTCGCCAGACACTAACCTGCTGCGAGCACCTCGTCCAGGTTATCGCTGAACAGGCCCTCCTCGAACTCTGAGCCGATGCTCAGGTGGAGGCTGTTGACGCTGCTTACGCCACTGCTACTGTGCACGCTGTCAGAGCTGCAGAAAACACGGTGAGCTGTTAGACGGAGACGGGGAGTGCAGGGTCGCGACAGGCACAATCGTAATGTGTTTAATGCCTAAGTTCTTACTAAACGCTGCCCTAGCAGGTCTTTCCCACTCTCAGCTACTACCTGAGAAAACCGCTAACCAGTGCCGATCCCGCAGTTTTTCCTTGCCCTTCATCCCTTCCTATATCCCATCTATCACCTGTGGCACCCATTGCAACCCCCGCTTCCAGTTCCTTCCCTCACCCTCCCTAAGTCCCTTATCACTCACTTGAGGCAGCCCGTGCTGCCGTGGTCTGTCTCCCCTCCCTTTCCTCTCCCTTCCCCTGTCCTTCGTCTCACCTGAGGCAGCCCGTGCCGCCGTGGTCTGTTCCCTCTCCCTTCCCTCACCCTCCCTCTGTCGTTGACTCGTTTGTCTCACCTGAGACAGCCCGTGCCGCCGTGTCCCCCGCGGCCGCGCAGCGCCTGTGTCTGTCGGGCCATCTGGGGCGGCGGCGCCGGCTGCTGGCCGCAGTTCCACGACAGCCGCTTCTGGATGCTGGCATCACGGCTCTCCTGCTTCTGGGGAGCGAAACGGCGCGGAGCGGAGCGTTAATAAGGGATCGGGTGACACCAACAGGACCTGACAGTGCGCCGCTCCGAACCCCAGCTCGACTCGATACAGCCAGCCGGACGCAGGGTCATTTAGCGGTCTACCGGACGGCGAACCGGTGATAGAGCTCCGACACACGAGCGCGGAGAACACGCGGCGTTCCGAGAACCCAGTAATGACTTGGATCGGTCGTGTTCGGTTCTGGCCGACCAGCCATTAGCGAACTGTGAGCACTGTACCGAGGGCTGACCAAAAATACCGCCGCATTGACAGCGAATGGTCAACGGTAAATGATTCGCTAAAAATAGCCACCCCACTCAATGGCGTGAGGGGTAAATAAACATATCTACTTACGACTCGGCTCTCCCCCCCCTCTCTCTCTCTCTCTCTCTCTCTCTCTCTCTCTCTCTCTCTCTCTCTCTCTCTCTCTCTCTCTCCCTCCCTACACGCACGGCGGCGCCGGTTACCTTCATGTCCTCGATGGCACCGGCCGTGTGGTACCGTCGGTTCTCCAGCCGGTCCCTCGAGTGACGGCGGCTCCGACTCTCGGCGTCGGCCGGCTCCGGCTCGTCAGAGTCGCCCGACGGACAGCCTGCGGCGGGTCAGATCAGGTCAGGATAGGTGGCGAGATGCATAGATGGACCCATGCAGACGGGTGCCATGATAGTGCACATCGTCAGGTAACGATACCATTTATTGAAGCAGATTATTTGTCGTTAGGTGAGAATGTGTCCGAAGAGCCGAGACAAACGAGCCTTCCTCGGAACAACTAGGGCATTTGAAGAAACATGTGTCCCAGTATTGCTGCCAAGGGAACAATACGCATCTACCTACCGGAGGATCGGGAAAGCCCGCAGGTGGCTGGCCCAACGAGCTCAACCACGATTGCGGCACATCTAATACATATTCTAGTCCAATTCAACAGCCCCCATCTCATCCACCCACAACCCCATCCGCTCCCCTGACGCACCTGTTTCGGAGGCGGGCGCCGGCGGGGGCGGCGGCGGGGGCGGCGCGGCGGCCGGCGGCGGCGGCGACGGGCAGCTGCCGCCGTCGGTGGTGACGTGCCGCGCGCGGGCCAGCGGCGGGTTGCGGGGCGGCGGCTGGACGGCCGTACTGCGGCGCAGAGTGCGCGGCGACAGCGGCGGGTAGGTGACGCCGCGCTGCGCCGACTGCAGGCCCCGCTGTGCCGGGGCGGGCACTGAGAGCTGCTGCGCCGCCTCGGCCGCCGACAGGTTGGGCAGCGACTGGCCCGCCGGCGTCAGGTGAGTCAGCACCGAGAGCTGGTTGGGGGTGGAGCCGACCGAGCGCAGCATCGGCCTCCTGCGAACGAGACAGGGAAGGAGGGGTCAGATACAGATACCACTGCGGCCAGATACAGCTACCACAGCGGTCAGATACAGATACCACAGCGGTCAGATACAGTGTAGGGAGAGGCAGATACAGTGTAGGGAGAGGCAGATACAGTGTAGGGAGAGGCAGATACAGCTACCACTGCGGTCAGATACAGCTACCACAGCGGTCAGATACAGTGTAGGGAGAGGCAGATACAGTGTAGGGAGAGGCAGATACAGCTACCACTGCGGCCAGATACAGTGTAGGGAGAGGCAGATACAGCAGGGAGGGGCAGGACCGGAGGTGGAGAGAGATCAGCTATCTGCTTCTGCGAGACGGCCTGTGTCTGGCGCCTAGATCGGCTTGTCATGGGGAAGAGAGATGCTGAGACGCGGAATGGTTACATGATGAAAAAGACTAGCACTCGATTAACTAATGACGGTCGATGCCGGACAACGCAAAACAAACACCATAGGAAAAGAAAGAACGTCAGTCCAGCGATGCGCACATAATTCACTGATTGTCCTTATAGGGGCTCCTAGAAACATCAAGAGTAGTTATTGTCGCATTATATAAACCAGGTACCGGTAAATCAACAAAAAAGCACAGCATAAACCCCAGAAATAGTACAAAACTGACACAAAAGGTCCGAGGTGACGCACATCAACTGACCCGCGTACCAAGTTCACGTAGCTGGTCTAATAGGACTAACGAAAAACAAGAGGAAAGAAATAAACATTCTGTCTTAGACAATATAACCGTTAAACAACCGAGCCCTACTCGGGTAATGGAGCGTAAACTGTTGACGGCACACGTGCGGCCTTTGTAAAGGTGCTACGCAACACCGTGTGAGAAAAAGCAGGAACTGCCCAGTGCCCACGTCATGTCAGCTTATGTACTACCAAGAGTTAAGAGATGACCTGCACGTGCATTTGTAAGTTAATAAAAACCTGATAAAAACCATCTTTTCAACGTTCTCATGAAATAAGCACATAGCTACCACAGCCTGCCAAGCAACAGAGCAGCTAGATCGCGATTATTTTCCAGCCGAAACGACCACACATCTATATATTTCTGTGATCGTCTCTGATACTGTCAGCGCGCTGATGCGATTGTCGCACATCTCCAGCCTAGTCCCTCTATTAATCCCGCAAAACAGCCGTTCCAGCCCCTGGCAGCCTCATAACACCGGATTCGCCGCGCGTCACACCATTAATCGCCAGGTGGACTCGGGTGTCACTAGGTCTGTGTAAGATCAGGCAGGGCTCATAGTTGTCTCCGCGTTGGAAATCCAGCGGCGCATCGCTCACAGTCCCAGCTAAGGGTTCCACAATACTGGAAAATTCACTCGCTACGCAGCGCGTTGGAGAAAAAAAAAACTGGGAAATGAATGAAAGCGCTCAAATGTTTTACATGATTCGGCGATTTTCGAACCAGTGGATTAAATAGAATCATTAATAATCTTCCCACTCTTCACTTTAACGCTCATCGCTCTTCCACGAAAGGATTAGGTCGGGAACAATTTCTTTAAATACAGCCACAATTTGAGAAAATATGAACTTTTCGAGATAAGAAAGCACGCTCAGCAGAGCAGAGACCTTATAGAGCAGCCATCCTTGCTCAGACGCTCCTCAGTCTCGCGTGCTTCATCCGCCGCTCATTCAGTCACTGCAGATCAGTCTCTGCCCAGTCAGTCGCTCCCTCCCCAGTCTCACCTCTCCGTCCTGGGACTGAGCGAGCCACGCAGGCGGGCCGGCGGGTGGTCCTCCGACGCCGACCTCTCCGGCAGGTTCAGTCGCTCGTCGGCCCCGGCGGCCGCAAGAGCCGCCGCGCGCGCCGGACTCGTCTGCAGGGTGGACACTCCGCTCGGGTCGCTGTTGTCCATCGAGCTGCTGCAGAGAGAAACAAGAGGACAGTAAGAAACGGGGCAGGGAGAATGAGAAGGGAGGAGGAGGGGTTGACAAACGTGAAAGCGGAAATATGTTTTGTTATGCCTTCCTTTAGGTCTGCTGCATGTTAAACACACTGATAAATTATCTTTCCCAAACATAATCACTCGCAAATGTAAAATAACTAATCCTACATAGTCCCCTACCCCCCGGGTAAAAGTTCAAACAGCAGTTTTCAAATCCCTGCAGAAGGTGAGGCATGAAGATGAAACACTTCACCGGCAGCCGCTGCGGCCGCTCAGTACCCCCCCCCCCCCCGACCGCGGCGATCGTGCCGAGCCGTCAGACCGACCTGTGCGAATGGATGAGACTGGGCACGCGGCTGGTGCGGCTGCTGCCGCGCGGGCTGCGTGACGTCATCAGCGCCGTGGTCGGCGGCTCCAGCTCGTCATCGTCGTCATAGAACACGTACTCCTGGTTGATGGTGGCCAGGCGCGCCTCGCGGTACTTCTCCTGGGCCTTCTTCACTGAGTCGACCCAGTTCTGGGGATAAGACAGACAAATAGGTAATTTTAGAACGGGGAGGTGCCTGAGCCTGTGTGCAGAGTTTATACTAATATAGTAAATAAAGTAGCATAGAAACATCACCAATATTTCCTCGTCTGTTGTTCAACTGCGCCAGCCCCCAAGGCACCCGAGTGCAATGTAAAAACACACGTGAGCCCAGAAAATGAGCCTCGTGTAAGCAGCATTTACAGCAAAAGCGCCCAGGCAAATGACTACTGTTTACCTACGCCCGGCAAGATTAATTGCCGCCCTGAAGCAGGCTGTGTATAATGAATTTGGTCGTGTAATGTGTTTTCCTAATACAGCGACACACACTAGTAGTCCCCGGCTATCAACTCCATCAAAGAGCTTAGCGAGGGAGATTTATCCAGCGCCAGGCCATCTCACCAACAGTGAATGCGAAGCCCCAGGCATACTCTCCGGGCCAGGAAGTTGCATCCCTTAACCTTGGCGGCTGCTGGGCCGACCGAGGCGGGGTCGTTTAATTTGGAGACCGCGCCCATGCAATATTGCGCCGAGCAACTACCCTTCAGGCGCCCACATCAAGAACTTCATAAAACCGCGGCGCGCGGTCGGCGGCGGCGGTCGATGAATGAAAACACGTCTCGCGCCACGCGGAACCCGGGGTCCGGTGCGGCCGCAGCACACTATGAGACGCCGCAGCGGCCATAGAGACGGTTTATGGGCGCAGGGAGGCCGCGGAGGGTGACCCGGGAACACACGGTGCCGGCGGAGGGACGATTTAACGAGCTGAGACGCGGCGGGCGGCCGCCGCAAACCTGACCAGCGTGTTTTGGAGCGGTACGGAGAAAATGATAACTAAAAAGATGCAAGATGTTGTTTTCCTAGACATGGATAATTTACAATAATAGCACAAGCACAACCACAAACCTAAAACGGTAATAACTACTTAACTACTTTGTAAGCTGGCCGCTTTGTTATCTCACCAGCTCGCTGACAAAGACGCATTAATTATTCCAGCGTTTGATAACTCCATATCTCACGCAGAATGCATACTTAACCGCAACTTCTCCCCCTCCCTCCCTCCCCCTCTCTCTCTTTCCCTCATTTCTCAACAGGTCTATTCATGAAGCACATCCCACTCCGCTGTCTCCTCCCAGTAAAGATATCATCCATTACCGCCCCCTCTCTCCCTCTCCCTCCCCCTCTCCCCCTTCTCAGTACCCGGCACAGCACACCAATCAGTGACCAGCTCTGTGAACTGCTGACTGCTGACGGCGGCCGGTTTATTGCCATTCTCCACTGAGCCCGCTGTGAGGACCGATCGAGTCGAGCACTGGGTATTTCTGTCAGTTGGCGAAACGCTCGACGGCCAAGCGGTGTAACGCTGACCGGCCGAGGCATTCACCAAGAGAGAAGTGGAGGCGAAGCTATACTTATGACGTACAATTCATCAGCCGATGTGTAAAGAATGGTTCGATGCATATCAATGCATAAATGAGTGATTCGTATTGCTCATTGTTTAGAAGCGTTATATTGCTACGGAAAAAACATTAATAAATAATTTAAATGGTCAGCAGAATGGCTGCAAACTTAGACTTATCACTCTTATATTAAATATAAACTTAATTCCCATCTTAATGTGCGTTCCTCCACTACCAAACTTCCAATGTTCCCAATAAGACTCATTCCCATTCCCTCAAAACCGAGGTGACAAGTTTGCCCCTCACACTACCATCTCCCCAGCAGCACGCACTCCTTCACTCCGCAGTAACTCCCACACACACACTCGCTCCCCTCACCTTGCAGTGCCGGCTGTCGGAGCAATAGAGGGTGAAGGCCGCCGTGGCCAGCTGGTACTCGTTCAGGTAGACGCAGAGCAGGGCGGCGTCCTTGGTGCCCTCCTGAACCACCAGCCGGTCGATCACGTACGGCTGTCGGATCACCCGCACCTTGTCCCCCTTCTTGGTCAGCGGCTTGCACACCAACAACATGTCGGTGAAGAGGAAGCAGCGGACGTCCACCTGGAGCGGGGTGGAGAGACCGTAGGTGGCAGGCGAAAACAAGAAACGATGATATAACATCCCGTGAAGAGGCTCTCTTTATTGAAAGCAAACAGCGGAGTTGCTAAATAAGCGATTCTGTTACAGATTGTATCGTAAGAGCCCGAGTGGTTCCACGGCAGTCAAGTATTTAAACAGCTTTCTTGTCAGGTGGATCGAAAAATCAATACAAGATAAAGGGAACGTTTGCATTGTTGCTTTTTTAGCACCAAATGATTCCATCGGTTTAGAAATTGTTAATATGATCGTTGATCCAAGCATAAGACGCAGGTGTGGTACAATCCAAACAAAATCCATAACATAAATTTTGCAATCAGTAAATGAAATTGAAAGCAAACCCTTCGTTATCAACCGCGTACGCTGTGTCCGGGATATTGAGCCGTGCGATGCGGCACAGCATACATTTCAGGCGCTGACCACTACTGTCATCTAGTGGCAACGGGCCAAAGTAGTCGGGTAATGCGGTGCAGTGTGGTATCCAGGCGTTGTAAAACGCATCATATAGCCAGGCATATAGTGAGTCTAGGAAATGCGGTTATCACTGATAATTCAGATATATAAAGGATGGACTTGAATGTTGGTGGAATAAGAAAAACCAAGAAACGTTTCAGAAAACGAATATAACGCACAGTATGCTTTTAATTGCTCTTAGCGATCACATTCATCTTAGAAAGCACGGCGATACTGATGACACTTGAAGCTTATTGACAGCTATTCCCAAATAGGTTACACATGGGCATTGCATCGCTATTGATCAGTGTAATTGCTCGTTACCAAAGCGAGCGGCAGTCATCCATAAGGGGCGGATCGGGCCTTTAGAAATCGTCTGTACCTTCCCTCATCGAGACAACAGAGGAAAAGACGGAAGCAGGGCAGGGAGAGAGATAATCAGCTCAGGAGAGATGAGAGAGAAGATAAGAAAGGCGAGGTAGAGACAAAGAGAGGAGGCAGAGGAGAACAAGCGAGAGGCGGGAGAAGAAAGAGAGAGATGGAGGGGGGAGAGAAAGAGAGAGAAAGAGAAAGAGAGAGAGAGGGAGGGAGGTAGAACGAGAACGAGAGAGAGAGAGAGAGAGAGAGAGAGAGAGAGGGAGAGAGAGAGAGAGAGGGAGAGAGAGAGAAAGAGAGGCGCAAATAACAATAGGAGAGAGAAGGGAGAGCGGGTGGAGGAGGGTCGCCGAAGTGTGAGAGCAGGCCCGGGACGTTCGGTCCGCTCGGCTGGAATAACACGATCGGGGCCGCGGCGGGGAGATGGCTGGCTGGCCACCCTCCCCTCCCCCGGCCCTGAGCCGGTCGATGGGACAATTTTACACGTGATTAGGGAAACTAGAGCTGGCTCAGAATAAGAGAAAATGTCTCACAAGAAACCTAGAAACCTCGTTTGAAAACGATGTGTGTAAATGAGGCATATGTGAGTTCCTATTATCTTCAACGTTAAAATGAAACAGTTATACATTTTCAACATAAACTTCTCATATTTTTCTAAATGATCTCCGAAAAATATCGCAACAGAACACTTCCAATCAACTCAAATTGTTATAGACCCTGTATTTGTGTGCCTCACCTTTCTATTTTCTTTGCATGTATCTCACGAAAACGTCTCGCAGCTGAGAGCACAGATAACTCGAAAGCGGACCTACCTTGGAAGAGACGTGATCCCTCAGTTTGAGTTCGCCCTCCAGCAGCAGGTAGCGCCGGTGGACGTCGCTGCAGCCCGGCATCGGACACGTCAGGTCCAGCGAGAGGTGGGGCTTCATCGCCTTCTCCAGTTCATCGTCCTTGGTGTCCTGGGAAGGGACAGGTTAAATTAGGTCAGGTGTGGTCAGGTGCGGTCAGAGCAGGTCAGGTCAGATCAGGTCTATTCGGGTAGCCAGAGCAGGTCAGACCAGGTCAATGTGGGTAGCCAGAGCAGGTCAGGCCAGGTCAATGAGGGTAGCCAGAGCAGGTCAGACCAGGTCAGTGCAAAGACGAGATATGTTTGCACTGACTGCACTGAACCATGCTTGAGACATTAGAAACGAGTGAAACGCACCAAAGCTTTACCAGATGCCTCCCGGATTTTCCAAGTTCCGTCATCTGTTAAGAATAGTTTAAACCTTACTCTGAGCAGACAATAGTACTGCTGAAAGTTTCGCTGATGGAAAAGCAAAACCCGAAAGCCGGGGTAAAAATAATCAAGAAAACCGTTCAGTAACAGGCGATCTGCTAGAAAACAAATTTCATGCGTCATCAACATTCGCTGATTGGGATTTCTAGCAATGATGAGAAATTATAGACCAATTTGACCAATCGATTTGGGAACCCACTCCTCGCAATTGAATTGCCAAACAAGATAGATGGAAGTATTCCCGAGCATGTGCACCAACACAATAATTTAAAGTCGTCGCTGCAACTATTTCGACCGTGGACGTTCCGAGAAGTGTTCCGCAATTTCGTCTGACAAGCCGACAGTGGCGGCAGGCTATAACGCCGCGGACTCAGCCAGTTCTCAGCGAAGCAAATGACGCACAGGAATTTCTCTGTGAGCGCCCGAAGTCGCCGGTTATTGTTGTCACAGTCATTGAGAAGACTTATCGTCACCGTTCTTCCCCAGACTGGTGAGTTTCAGACGCGACCATTTCTCATGGTGCCAGAAACAGCGCCTCAATTCTGGGTCACTTGTACTTGTAGAGGTACGAGAATTGAGTCTCGTACCCCGCATCAAAAGTCCCAACAGATTTAATCACAGACAGTGAGCCTGGAAAATCAGGACATCTTGATTGATTCCAGATTATCTTTTTGATTCCAGATTACCATTTTCAGCGTTCCCCTGTTTCTGCAATAATAAAAATGTCCTGCTCCTCCAAGCGGCTAACGATCTCCTTTAACGCCCCACACAGTTGAAGGCGTCGTGGAGCCATCTCTTACCACGCAGTCGTAGCTGTCGATGCGACCTATGATGGCGCTGAGCCGCTCCTGCTCGTGCCGACTGCGCAGAGATCCGTCGACGCTGCCCACGAACACGTCCACATCCTCGATCTGAAACACACGGGAAAGGGGACGTGACAGTCAATCCTGGGGTGCAGGGGAGCGGAAGTGTATGTATGCGAGGGGAGGGAAGGTATGTACGAAATTGCTAAACATAACACATGTGGCACATAAGACAAAATTGCTTAGTATATTATTGTACTATTTTGATAAGGTCTTGTTTGACCAACAACATTATTTATATTTACTGATATGCAATAAATTATTATGGAAAGTAATAAACGGAAGTCGAGAAGTACAATGCTATTTTGATGCTATATGCTGCTTGGTATTAGTCACTGTTCACCCATGCTCATGGAGGAACAGAAGCTGAAAATGTTATTTTACCGTACCTACTCCGATAAGACAGCAGCCAGCCAACTCACGTCCAAACAACAACCGGTAAACTAAAAATAAAACATCGTACCGGAAACTATTGATAGCGCGCTGTACCCCCACTAATCGGCTCGAGGTTATCGCCTCAGCTAACGGGGATAAAGCGACCACAGCTCACCGCTCCACCGCCTCCTCTCGGTACACAACCTGCCCCCGATTCGCCAAAGTCATCACCGCACACCATTAGCGCCCCACTTCCTTTCCGAAAACCGGGGGTAGTCGGCGGCAACCTACCGCTCTGCCGCGGATTCGCCATCGCTCGCCGCTGATGGGAGCCTAATAAACAGCGGCTTAGCGGCGCCGTGTCCGCTGACAAGCACGGGTAACGACCCAGGGGATCTCCCGGATAGACGGCACGAGTGCTCCGGCTCATTGACAGCCGCTGCGTGCTGGTTGTGTGTTGGTTCTGACGGTATATACTGCCTTGGTTCTGACGGTTCTGACACACGGGGACGTCCTAGCTGGCGTGGGCAGGCAAAGCATACTGACGGGTAGAAAGACATCAACTGGGAATGACACGCCACGGCGTGTAAAATACCTACAGCCGAGCTTCCGGTATTAGTTTTTATCTTGATTTCAGAGCGGCAGCATGACAGACGCGGAAGTTATTATAGATGAATAGCGACGTGGAATTACTAACAAGAACCACGGCTCGTTTCAAACGAATGCTGCAGCAGACGTTTTCCGGCAATGCAGGGAATGTCTGAGACAGCTAAAAAAATAAGGCAATCGATCCCCAGCGGGGAACGATTTTACACCTAAAAAGTTGACAATTTAGTGAAAGACTCAGAAATCAAAGCTCTGAGCTGATGAGTCTAGAGGTCGATCGGTCACAAAGTCTCTCGATGCCCGCTTTTGGATCCGTTGTGTGACGTCACAATGGCGTCACTGTCATGTCAAACATCCTGATAGTAATGGTGTCCCATTAACCTTTGGTGTGGCACCGGCGATAGACACCCAGCAAACTGTGGCCAAACTTGGCTCGCGGGTTGATTCAATACCTGTCCAAAGAGCTTCCAAACAGAACGAATGTGATGGGACAGGTCTCTCACGTCTGAGCCAACATGAGGGATCATGGACACAGAAACTGCGCCATCTACGCAAGATACCGGCTACTATATAGTTCATAATGTAATTTCACAAATGTAATAATTAAATGAAGGTCAAACATCACTCATCAGAATAGTCAGCAATACCCAAAACTAAAAAGCATCAGGTACTGAATGATTTCACTTACTCAGGTGAAACTAGCAACGATTAATGGAAAGTCAAGACATATCTCGTAGCGACAAAAATGACCGTACCATCCGCCTTTGAATACATACAACATTACAACCGCCCCTCACGAGTCGGCGACTACACTTCTCTCAATTAAAAACTCATGCCCCGTACGCCTCGCTAAATGCCCCGACACAACTTGTTATCATTTTCCCCGGGCCGTCAGCTGACGATCACGGACCGCCGTGTAATCGACTGATCTATCGGGCGAGTTTAGCACCGGACCATTAATCGGGCGCTGTTCAGCTCGGTGGCAGGAGCGGCCGGCCGTCAGGCCTGCTAACTCCAGCGGCGGGGCGGGGCAGGGCCAGGGAGGGGAGGGAGGGCACGGTGTAATCAGGCGCGGGCCAGCCGGGGACAAACAAGCCCGGCGACGTCAGGCGAGCGTCGCGCAGCTCGCAGCTGTCGCAGCCGCCCGAGCGAGCGTCGGAGCGCGTCCTCAACCGATCACACACGCGGGATCACAGGGGACGGACGCGAGGACAGACGCGCACGCAATGCTCCAGACGCCTTCAGACGACTCTAGACGGCTTCAGATGACAACAGACGACTATAGACGACTATAGACGACTACAGACGACTCAAGGCAATCTGAAGGCGACTGCAGTTTGCCATAATCAGCCCAAAGCGACTCCAAACGGCTTCAGTCGACCACGGACGACTCTAGGTGACTATAGACCACCATACAGGTGACTACGGACTACAGTACTCCATAGACCGACTACTCCACAGGACCAGAGACCAGACGTCTACGTCAGGCGCAGCGAGACATGTCAATCAATGGTCGTGCTGTGGTGTAAAGGCGCATAAGTCATAATTACACAGGTGTGAGCAGGCCCAGCAAGTGTATTGGCACGGAATCAAATACCTTTTGAAAGCAGTGAGAAAGTAATAGCGGAAGTATTTACGGAAGCTGAATAGGACTGGGAATAACTATACGGCACAGCGGTACTGGCAAACAAAAACATTCAATACTTAAGGTGAGCGCCATTTGACTTCTTATAAACTTTTGAACAATTGAACAAGGTGCAGTTAAGGATTTCAACAATAATTTTGATTTCTGAGCTTGACGAAAAACGGTTATGTGCACTTCGAGAAACGGATGAAGCCAAAGGAACCCGATTGCACTGCTGGGATTAGCTCCACGGATCAGAAGAAACGAAAGGAGAGATCCTTAAAATAGATTCCGAGCTGGCACGCTGATAAATTTGGCGAGGCTCCAAACTAAATTAATGCTCGATTGGTTGGAGAAATCAGATTCGAGCTAGCTTGCCATGGTGCGGTAGTTTTTGCAATGGCACGTCGATGGATCCCATATATTACCAGTGAGTGAAACGCAAGGTTCCGCTAATGCAAAATTAGAACGCAAGGGGCTTCTAAAAATGCAAAACATCGAGCTGCCATTAATTTGAATAGTCTCCAAAAGCACGATGCGCAGCAAAGAGAACATAAATTGTGACATACATTTCCTTCTTTTCTCGACCATTTTGGTCACGACTCGATTTGTCTCAACCCACGCTGACCCTCGCCAGCACGCTCTGCTGACCTTTGGGTCACTCCCCGACCCTCCATTACTCCACCAGCCGCCGTTCCTAATGACCTCAGGTCATTTCCGACACCCTCCCCGACGGCGGGGCGGGGGGGGGGGAGGCGAGTCGGCCGCTTTGATCGCCGCCGCTGTCAATGTTTGTGGCACGACGCTGTGTTTGGCCGAGACCGTAAACGGCGGCGGCGCTCACTGGCACGTCAGGGACGCCGCGCGAGTGTGATCACCGGCCGCCGCCGCCCCCGCCCAGAGAGGGACCGGAAACCGCGCTCGCTCAGACGGACTGTACACAGCGCCGCCGGCCAGATTACATACTGGAACAACACAGACCGTCTCGGCCGGCGGCGCCGGATAAGAGGCCGGGCCGAGTAATCCAAACGGTCGGCGCACCACCGACTCGCTAACAGAGGAACAAGGGAGCATTGTGTCCTGCGGGATGTTTGATTCTCATCGTGATATCTGCAGTAGTGCTTATTATTACATTAAAATGTTTTATAATTCTCTTAATATGTTATGTTTTCTACAGTACAATTGAATTCAACTTGTGGGTAGCATCATTATAAAACGTTACGCGAATTTCCTTTCGAAATCGCATTTTTATTTTTCTGATACCCATGCATACTTAGGACAGATAACCCGGCTAGAACCTATAATTAGACACCATTTATAATTCTAAGATGCAGCAGCAGGTCGAGACCCACCAGAGTGTCGTTATGGAAGCGACTCATCACGTCGAGGAAAATTCATATCAATCAGTAACAGCATTAGAATTGATATATTTCGCGCAGCTGTGCAGCGATTCGCAATGACATTATAGCCCGAGGACGCAATAGCAGGCAGTGCTTTAGATCCGAAATGGTTGGATGATGTCCAGAACCCAGCAAAGGACAGTTTTTAGTAGATCAGTTAGTAGATTTTTAGTAGATCAGTTATCACCTTACACTTTTCAGCATATAAGATACTGACAAACCTAGAACATTTCGTCACCGTATCCTAGACCAAACTAAAAGTCGACCCGAGCGTCACCATAACTAATCTGGCCACCAACCCAAGTCACCATAAGCCTAACTCGACACCAGCTAAACTCGCCATCAGCCAAGCTTGCCACCAGCCGAAGTCGTCAACAACAATTCACCACCAGTCCCAGCCAAGTTCTCCCAAACCCCAATCGATACTCACCATCTGCCTCAGAATGGCCTGCTCCTCCTGCGGCTCTGTCTTCTTCAGGATCGCCTTCAGCAGCAGAGAGTACTTGGTGAGGCGCTGCCAGGGCTTGGCCAGGATGTCCACCAGCCTCAGCCGGTTACAGTCCTTCTGCGTCTCACACCACTGCGGAGACAGCGGGAGGGCAGGTCAGATTGCGGGTCATGAGACAAATTACTGAAATGGCGAGGGTGATAGGACAGGTGGCTATTGGAGCACAAGAGAGGTCAGTGAGGAGGCGGTGGTCGAGGTCTGGAAACTGCTCCGTTAGTCGGTGAGCCGCGTTTATTGTTTTCATTTTTTTATGTTTTTGGCGTCTGCACCTTGCGTACTCTGAGCCGTGACAAAGCTGTTTGGAATCTGGGGCAGTCTTTCATTCTTATGCAGATTCGATTATTTCCATCAGTATTTCAGCCACAATCGAATATAAACACGCCCAGGAGAAATACCGCGTAAAAGAGTCATTTTCGCGAAAATGTTTGTGTGGCGAGGCTCAGAAATATTTTGACAGCCGAGTGAATACGCTCACAGAAAGCCTCCGTTCGTCTGTCGATCGAGCTGCCATAAATTGTCATTGTTTGCGTCCGTTCGGATGATGAAAGCATGACAAACTAAGCGCAGCCAGCTCAGCCGTCAACACAGGGTCCCAATACATCTATCCATCTACCGATCCCGCTTACAGAAACACTCGAGATTACTCGCTGTTACACTCGAGATTACTCGCTGCTCGCATTAATTCTGCTGTCTGTCCTCAAAGCACACCCCCGCTCGACCCCAACGCACAGCGGCGCTCTCATTTCCATCCGAGGCGGTACTCTGCGCGCGACCTAAGGCGGCTGCTTCCTCTGCCGTCGGGGGACAAAGAGTCGCAGTAGCACACGCCGGATCCGGGAGACGCCTGGGCGCGCGTCTCCGCTACCGGTTGCCGTGGTAACGGATAGTCCAATCAAGGGACTAAGTCACGCAGAGGCGGCCGCACGTTTTTGTTTCTGGCCGAGCGGCGCCGCCGGCCGCAAACTTGCGGGAAAAGATGGGACGCAAGCCGCACGGCTTGGCAAAGCGAAACCTGTTTGCTGGCAAACTTTCCTCCCAGGGGCGTTGCCGCAACAAAGCTGATCCTGATCGCGAGAGTGTTAGTCGTTAGGTGTTCCCGATCTGCCCATGTCTATCCCAACTACGATCGACACTCAGTGTCGATCAGTGTCTCGAACGAAATTTTACGCTGTCTCAAACTCCAACCTTTTATCTACAAAGTCTACCTGTTTTGGAGTCCCATACACAAAGGGCGGATACAGATTGGACCGCCCATCCGCAGTCAGCATACTGCGACGTTCAGATAATGCCGTCCGATCAAATTACAGTCCACCGGCGCACAAAACAGAAAAACGAATTCACATCACGCGACACCCTACGAGACAACAGCACGTGACCCCGCATCGTGAGATTTCTCAAACACTTCCGTTCGCTTTGATATGGACGAAAAAGCTCGCTACACACGCGACGGTTCAAGCACAGCTGCTCTTCGGCATAGCGGATCAAAGTAGAATAGTGTTTGTTTTGGGAACAGCTCTGTTGTATGCAATGAGACATTTAATAATTCATATAAACTCATGCACGGATAAACACAAATGCACGGCTCGCATGCTTAAGTATACCCATGACGTGAACCCGCCGGTAATTATAAGCAGCCGAGGCGGTCCTTTTAGTGACCATATGCCGTTAAACGGCCGCTCGTCTGAGCCGCGTAACGATTCGTCCCGTCTAGTAATGAGCTCGTCTTTCGCCGGCAAAGAGCTGCAACAGACACGTCAGCTCACAACACCGGCATCCGGCGCTTTTAGAGGGACACGGCGAGACTTAAATCTGTCGGCTTAGTGTCGCCGGTGGAACGGACGCAGGGCGGACTGGAGAAGTGCTGCTCCGAACGAGGCACTTGTTACGGGCGAGATGACGACTTGGAGTGGCGAGCAGGCGATGTGAAAACGACGCCAGACAAAATACGAGCATCCGACGAAAGTTTAACTTTAAGTGGGCTGTTGTGGAGGCGAGAAACAAGAAGGTACGAAATAATAGACGTATAAAATAGAAAAGTTAATAATTCATCAACGGTAGACACAGGGAATGATAAAAAAATCGTTCCGGACACAAATAATCACTTCGCAAACTTTGGACGTGACGATAAACATTGTGACGCGAGAAAACTGAAACAAAACTGAGAACAAAATTCACCAGGATGCAGCAAACACACACATACAAAACAGACGATGAAAACAGAAAAGTTCGAGAAAGCCCGAGCGCCATAACGTGATCGGGCGAACGAAGGAAGGGCTTTTTTTTTTAGTGGCCCTAACTTACGTTACCGGCCTCGCGAGGAGGGCAAAGAAAGGGCGATTCACCGCGAATGAAGTGCGTCTACATGAGGTGCTACAATCTGGCCGATCGGCCATCGAATCTGGCTTTAGCGCTGATGGGAGTCCGATCCGTCTGCCATCTGGTCCAGACAGGAGCGTTCCGGTGATATGTGGCCGCCGTCGGCCGGAGCACGGCCCGGGGTGACCCCGGCGGCCCGGCCCCCTGCGGGGAACTCCTTCTACCGGTCCGGCCCCCGTCCACAGACGGCAGCGCTCAGCCCGACCTCGACCCAGTCGGCCGGTGCGCCGACCGTGTCCGACGAGCTAATTAGCTGCACCGGACACCTCGGCGGCCCACTTTTCCAGATTGGCGCCCGTCGGCCGGCCGAGCGCGCTGCTCGCGACCAGCGCCGGCCTCTCAGAGGTCCGTCACCGGCCCGCTTAACGAGCCGTCTCGGCAGCGCGCCGCGGATGACACGCGCCGCAGAGCGCTTTACAGCGGTGCCGAGGTGCGCCGGAGCCGCCGGCCGCGCCGCTTATGGCGAACTTCATGCCGCTGTCTCCGGGAGAAGTCGGCGAAGGTTCGCGATGAGCTCCATCGCGCGGCCGACTGAGTGCATTTGGACATTAGAGATGTCCCAACAGCGCGAGAGCGAGACGATAAAGTGGTTGCCGAGCTGAGTGATGACAGTTGTAATGTGCGGAGTTCCTGAGTTTGTCCGCACTCAGTATGGTTATTATTCGCTCTGGGACGAGACGAATTGCCTATGAGGTTACCACAAACATAATCACATAACAATTATACCAGCCTGATAACACGTATCAGGGAAGTGATAACTGTATACTGATTATGCCGCAACGATGTTCATATGGCTATTGTGTAATACACTCAGACGAGATGGAGACTGTTCCCGACTAAGCGCGCACTTACCGCCAGGTATCCGTTGAAGAGTCCGTTGCTGCGTGAGAGTGACTTGCAGTACAGTTTGCTGTTGTTCTGATCCAGACAGTAGCGAGTGTACGGGTGGCAGATCTCCTCAAACTGGCAAACAAACACCACCGCGTCAGAACCACCGTAACAACAGACAAAGGTCTTGGAAACAGAAACATCTTTCATACACTCCATAGCGTCGTCCGTCGCCATCATCCCAACCTGAATCGTGACGACTCACAATACATACCTATGACACGTGACCGTTTATTACTACCTCATATCACGTGACCCATAAATAACCCCGTCACACCCATGACTCCGTGACCCGTGCCGTGACCTGTCGCCACTCACCTGAGCGAAGCCGTCTCGCATTTCGGTGATGTCCAGCGGCTGGCGGCTCTTGCGCGCCTTGGTCAGCATCCGGAGCACGTGATCGTGCCAGAAGTGGCGGTTGGCCGCGTAAATCTCCTGGATGTTGGAGAAGAGTTTCTCGGTGCTGACGTCAGTGAGGATGCCGCAGTGCTGCAGGTTGCACAGGCACGAGAGGAACAACTGCGAAACAGAAACATGTCGGTTAGTCCGGTCGGCAGTAATTCGAACAGCGTGAAGGGGATACATAGGGCTAATGTAAGGACGAGATAATTTAACGGATTAGACAGTATGTACACATTTTTATTATCTATAACACGAGCAAAAAGAAAGACAATATACGTAAAATACCATAGCTTTGTGGCGGCCGAGACGAATCGATAAAAATATGATAAAATTATATTGAGAGACGAAAATAAAGAACATGGCAGTTTGAAAGTAGGCCGCACACTGAACTAAACACAATTTCTAACATCGACGTTGACTCGGTTTTCTGAGCTAAAAAGAAATATTGTTTTTCACGCGCGCAGCAACAATGACAAGAAAATAAACATGAATCAAATAAGGCGTGATAAAATAAGAACAAAGACCTCAAAGAAAAGGAAGTACGAACTCGCCACAATACTCCCCGCCCCAGAGCGGAGCTAGAAAGTAAGATAAAGTAAATTGCTAACAAAAATCGATCACAAATTGTCAGTCAGAATGGGCGCAGACCAGCTCTTATTAATGGCGGCACAGCGCCTGCCGCGTCGGACGGGAGCGGCGATAAACCGGCGCAGCCCGGAAACTCCGGCGACGGCGACTTGCGACTCGCTGACTTGTGTTCTGCGTTTCGCGGCGACGTATAGGTTCATGTCGTTGACGAACGCTTGGGTATGTAGATAGGTAGGCATGAAGATAAGAAGCACCGCGGTGGAGCAGGCGGCGTGGCTCAGCGCGGCCTGGATCCACCTTGGTTAGGCCACAAGTCAGCGGAGCCGCTCTTGGGAGAAGCGAGCTTGAGGTCGGTGCGCTGGTATCAGCCGGTGCGGAGGGAGGCGGCGCGGCATGGGTGCGGCGCGGCCCGAAACCACCGGCGATTCTTCAAGTGATCGTTTCTGGTCGATAATGGTTCTTGTTGCATGATAAATGTATATCGTATTTCGCTTTCGTTTCGATGATTGACACTTCCTCGTTCTTATTCTTGATGTCGCGTCGAAGGACAGACGTCGACATCGAATAGATAAATAAAATCTTGAAGATCAATAATTTACTGTTATAAAATAAAGAACATCACGTCGGGGTCACCAATGTGGCGGCCGAGACGAATCGATAAAAATATGATAAAATTATATTGAGAGACGAAAATAAAGAACATGGCAGTTTGCAGAGGTGAAAAAAGGTGTCAACTCTCCAACCGGTGTTGGAGACAGAGTCAATCCTATAAAGGAAGGCCGTCGGAGACACAACCACTTAAAGATATATAATAATCTCTTTTCATTGTTGTCAAATTCTTCTCGTTTTTCTTTGATGCACGCAAAAAAATCAATCATATTGAGTCTTAGTTCATTACGAGAACTTCATACTCCATATCACAGAGCACTATATACACTATACAGTATACATAGGCTGCCCCGGAGACACCGGAGACAGAAGGTGGTGAGAAGGTGATGACTCCTAGAGCCGGGCGGAATCCATAAAGACGATTCTCTGTGACGCTTGCCGCGAAACTAGACCTTACGGCTGTCTCCGGAGACACGAAAAAAATTCAGTAGCGAAAACGCTAGCACAAACCCTGCGCACTTGTGACAACGCGGCGCAGCTTCTGAAAATACCGTTGAGATAATAGCGACAGTGAAGTGTGCTTGAAGTGACGGAAGAGGGTAGTTGGATCTTGGTTGGATCTACCTAGGTAAGACTAAAATATGACAATGGTTGAGGTTGGGGAATAATTATCAAAGTTGAGGAATCAATAGGTACTCAGGGAATATCGAACTTTTCAAACAAAAGTAGGTAACACATATTGTACAAAATCCCTTGTGAATGATTTTTATTATATAGTTGATGCAGAAACAGTCGTTTTCCTTTCATTTGTTTTATATTCCAGTTCAAAGTTCAGTTCTGATTGACTGATTTAGGAATACATGAGAAGGTGGTAAAATAGGTACATTGATTGCATTTTATTCTACAAATACTTCAAAAGGAAAAGACAAACCTGAAGTTTCTGTTGCTGATTGCACTTCTCCTGAATTTCAAGAATTTTAGGTAAAGTATTCCTTAGAAGTTGTATTTAAGCTTGATGTTGTTTCTTATCCTAGCTGGTCCTAGCATCAGCCCATGATGTGTAAAACTTGTTTCTATGTAGGTACCCATTACACAAACCACATGGTTTGATATTTGCAGATTGAGGTGCACAGCCTCAATGTAAGCATTTGCATTTTGCAACAAGCATTTACCTATATTATTGAACCATTTCTGGACTTCCTGTTGGAAGTGAAGAGCAAATACTCCAGTCATCATTTTGATTTTACAAATATTAAATCTTGGTGGTCTATATCAAAGCACCCATCTTGCTGACACTACCAGGTAAGGCCAGAGATCAGTCTAAATATGTGCATGCATCTCAATGATGTAAAACAATCCAAGTCTTCATTGGTGCTTATATCAGTGTAAATCTGCTATTTTCATTGGCTTATTCCCATGCCTTAGATTTCTGCATGGCAGAGGAAGCATTTATTCAAAGGTAATTATAGCTTTAAAATAGTAGGGATATGCGAGATGACCTTTTCATTATCAATGCATGACTTCATTCCAGTAGCCAAATCAGTCCCTTGCAGTTCTGCATTTCTCGACCTGCCAACGGTGGCCATGGTAAGGCCCCGGTCCGGCAGTTGGCAGTAGCGCCACCTACACTGAAGGTCGGCGGATCCCGAGGCCACGGGCCGGCCTGGCCCGGCCGCGGACGGGCCGGGGAGCGGGCGGCAGGGGTGGGGAGGGGTACCCGGGGACGACGGGCAGCATTGCACTTTAAAAACAAGGTTGGTATAAATAATTTGCCTGGAGTATCCGCGAGTCATTTTAAGGCAGGCGCGACGTTACCCAAATATAACTTGTTTTTAATTGGAGAGTAGGTAGGCAAATTAAGACATTTGCGTGTTGCTCATTGACTAGCCCTCTGTTTTGGAATAACACCCGGTAATGATGCCCACAAGTGCAGTGCTAGCCTGCTTTTTTGTCTGTTTTAGGTATACATAGAAATGATTGAACGCCCTGCTAACATAAATTTGTTCGTAGGTAATTCTTACGATTTGTTTGAAGTGCCGACCTCCGAAGGGATAGTCCTTTCGAAAGCTGATACTTGCGTCCGGCTTTTATTCTAGGAAAATAACACCCATTGTATTCCTAAGCATTGCTGATCTAACAGCAAAGTAAGTTGAAAATTTCAATTACCTTGCCTTTGTGTAGATGAAGGAGAGCAGCCACCAGCACACACGTCTAGCCGATCCCCTCACAGGCTCCACACTGCTGCCCATTGCCCAAGGACCGACCGTAACATCTGTGCGCCATAAAATGGTACAACGGCGTCTTTTATCAGGCGGACCCCAGTGCGAGCGCCACGCGGACCGTCCGTAATCGAACGGTTGGTCCAGGACGACTGACGCACGGGGCTTAGCTGATTTTGTCTGGTCTGACACAAGCTCTATAAGCATTGGTAAACCATCAGTTAAATCGTTTTGAGTTGACCTCGCGATTAAAGCATAAAGGCTAGCCATTAGTCTATCCCAGAAACAAATATACCCTTCGCATTTGTTCGCGGCATTCGTGATAACTGCGGTTCAAAAGCATGGGAACACAGCATGAACACAACCAGTCTTCCAATGGGTATTGTTGGGTCCAGATGGCAGAAAGATGGCAGAAAGTTTTTGAAGGTATAAAAGGAACACTCCCCAAAAGCAACTCCAAAATCCAAAATATTCTGTTTCCACTTTTTGATCCTTTTTCAGCTCTTGAAAATATTTCACCTTTTATCTAACAGAACTTGATTGAGTGTCTTTCAAAGCCAGAAAACTGTAAAGGTTGCATAAATTGCTTCGTGTGCTGCTCAGCCAAAAAAGTTTACAATTTGCTTGGAGACAGAGCCAGTATGCCAGCTTATACAGTTGGAGACAGCGTAGACATTTTTTTCACCTCTGGCAGTTTGAAAGTAGGCCGCACACTGAACTAAACACAATTTCTAACATCGACGTTGACTCGGTTTTCTGAGCTAAAAAGAAATATTGTTTTTCACGCGCGCAGCAACAATGACAAGAAAATAAACATGAATCAAATAAGGCGTGATAAAATAAGAACAAAGACCTCAAAGAAAAGGAAGTACGAACTCGCCACAGCTTCAAGTCTCTTCTCATAGCCTCAAGTCTCTTCTGAAAGCTTCAAGTCTCTGCTATACGTTACATTATACCCTCAGCGGATATCAAGTGGCGTACCGTCTCCAAAAATCGGGCTGAACCCGCTCAGTCGAGTGTGCGCTTTTGTTGGCCGAGCAATCGAGACCGATCTATTAATCGTGCTGCTCGCGCCACATTTGCCGGCAGATCTCAGAGAGCGAGCCCGAGAAATTCGTCTGCCCGGTCGGAAAATCGGCAAACTGTCTGCCGATACGAGGATCAGTATGGCAAAGTTTTCCGGGAGGTGTCTGAACTTCCCGGGGACACGGTCCGGGCAGAACTAATGAGCCCCACGGGACTTAATAAGCCGACGGAAAACAAACACGGCCACTTTGAGGACCGTTTGGCGACAGACAACAAACACGTCTACTTAGCTGCGGACATATGGCAGAGAAGCCATGGCGACAGGCTTGCTTAGTCCACCAGTCTAAGAACATCAAACATAAATCGTCACCACAAAGAGCCGATGCTGCGTCCCGGGCCAAATATAGCCCGGCAAATGGACCGTAAATACCATGTCCGTTGATACCGATTACTGATGGCGTGGCTGACCTGCTGCTGACACGGGGACTACCACGGCCGTCTGGGCCGTGAGAGCTCTGTACCGGGTCGCGCCGTGGCGGACGGGTCCAGCGCTACAGCCTGTCGTTGAGTGCACCAACAATTACTGAAGACACGTATCGCAAGTTCGATGGTGTTTGAGTTCTGGCCTTGACATCATTTCCTAACACATCTATCCTTCCAGCATTCTTTCCTGTCCTCAATGATCTCTGATCAGACTTCTCGCAGCTGTATCTCGTAAGCGCGAATCGCCTGATGTGGCACACCTGATCGCAGCTCCGACCAGCACACCCACGGCCAGCGTGCCTGCTATGATTAACTACCCTCGGCCGTCGCGTCTGGCCGTCTTCCCACGCCTTGTGCACCCTCCTGCCCACCTCCGGACTCTACCTCATCACCCTCCACTCTACCCTTATGCCATCGGGAGTCCCTGGAGGCGGATCGCGCCTCCGTGGAGCAGCGAGACATTTGTCTCTCGCAGCTGCCGTCAGCTCATGATCACACCAAAACGCGTGGGGTGGAGTTCGTAGGGAATGAGCAACAGTCCACGAAACGACGAGCATGAATCGGGAACGATTTGCCTCTCCATCAGTCTGCGAGAGGTGGGACGAGCACAAGGTGGCGAGGATTAGCGAGAAGAGGCGAGCAAAAGACGAGGAAAGACGCGAAAAGGCGAGGAAAGGCGAGGATAAGGCAAGCAAGAGCGTCAAATGGAAAAGAATGGCTTTGATGTGGGCCAAGTTGACCTGAATCGATGCCGCCCACCGCGGGGTGTGTCCCGCCGGTAGTGGGACAATACGGGCGCCCTCAAAGGCACCTCGGACAAAAGCCACGAGGTTACCGCTGCGGTATGGAAATTTAGTCTCGTTTGTTCTAATTTCAATGGCAAGTGGCGAATGGTTCCGTGGCCCTTCTTTTGTGTCCGGTAGAAACTTTGCCGTGCATGACAGGCATAAAGAAATGCAGAAGCAGGTCAACTAACTTCGTTGTAGCATGACCAACTACAGGATACAATTGAATTGATGAATGCTTAACAGTCTGCTAGCCCATCGCCCTTTTAACGATAAACATACAACCTTAGATCACGGTCTTTGTGCGTTTCGACCCCCACTGTCGATCACCCCCGTTCCCGAGATTTCTGGGACCAGTGACAGGCGTTTTCCCATCCATTTCAGATAGCACCCCTATCCACGACACACCAGATGCATAGGGGCCATTCGTCGCACGTCGGCGCGGCGCCTACTACCGGCGCCGGCCGTCCCATGGGTCTGTGACACGCGCTAAATGGCACGCCACCGCGCGGGGCAGACCGCATCAGCGCCCAAATGGAGCCGCAGGTGATGTACGCCTCGCCTGACACTATCTCCGTCATGACTCGTGCGGGTCATTGCATGGCACGTCTGGTGAGGTCGGCACCGCATTTCAGAGCGGGACATAGCGCCTGAGGCAGTGGACGAGGTCAGAGGTCACTGCGACGTGTATAGCAGCTCGAAGCACCTGTGACAGAGGGCGGCCCACAACCAAACCGGCGGGGATCCGCCACATTTGAAGTGCCATCATACCAGGACATGGAACAGCACTCACTAACCCTCCCGCTCCGAGCGACGCGCATTTGAACGCCCTCGCCGTTCGCGTCCCGTGGACGGGTGCGCGTCTGACCCTGAGAGAGCCCGGCCACGGATGTGCCGGGAGTCACGAGACCAGACACAGCTCACGGAGCCTCACGGAGCGTGCCAGACACGCGTCCAGCCCTGGACACCGACGCGGAAGCCAACAGCGCTCGTCAGTAAGTTTGGTAAGATAATGACGGTCCGTTAAAGCGGCAAACTCGTGCTCGGAGCAGCGTCTGTCGGCCGACCGGCTAGTTTACGCCGTGGTTGGCGGCACGAGCTTCGATCTATTTGTGGGCGGCTTGTAACAGGTAATTATGGCCGCACTGATTAGGCGCCAGAACAGGGAGCGGCTTTGTTTCAGAGCGCGCTGATTAGTTTTCTTCTTCTTGGTTTTATCTGCCAGATAGAATGAGGTCTCAAAGCAAGGTGATCTTGTTTTCATTTCACTGATTCGTGGCGGCAGGAGTACCTACTCATTCGTATTCGTAGAAAGGCAAAAATACGCTCACCTTGACAAAAACTGGCCAAGCTGATATAATTTTGCTGAGAGATTCATAATGCCTGCGGTTTCATATTGAAACGGAATACAAAGTCCTTTTTCCAACGTCGTTAATAAGTTCAGCTAATGCTAATGGAACTATAACTAAGAAGCCTTTAGCCGGGTGTAACCCTCAGGGCCGGTCTGAGAACGCCACGTCCCAGGTCATTAGGCTCATTAAGGTCGGGCTTCCGTCGCGCTGATCAGCGGAAGTGGACGGGTTGGACCCCAACCCACAACCGGTGCCCTCGGGCCTCGCGACAAACAAAACAGCCCATTCATGGTCGCAAGAAAACACCACAATGCAGAGAGCATGGTTACCTCTCAATGCGCCGCCGCTGTGTTCTATCCATTCTGCCATAGTGCTAACTTTGCCACTAATTACTCAATACTATTATGCTCTGTATTTAGGGCCTTGTGCTCTGCCACGACCAGAACCATCGCTCTCCCCTTTGACCCGCGCTGGGGAACACAATCCCCACCACCGACCGCCGCGCCCGCGTCCTATTCGCACTAACACTTTGTGTCCACCACTTCAGAGTCCGCCGAGACCCGGCGGGCGCGGGGGTGGCTCGAGCTCGCCCTCCATCCTCTCGAGGGGTCTCTCGGGACTGCCCAGTGCACGCACTCCAGCGTCCCAACGGACCGCAGACGGCGGGACGATCGGGAAAATACCGCATAGGCAACTCTGCCATATACGAGTAAGCATCTGTTCCATCAATAATTCGGAAAACATACTGCTTATTTTAACATTCCTAGGGTTTGAAATTGCGTTCAATTTACTTTTATTCTAATAATCTATGACTTCGCTGTATTATTGCGCATATCTATATTTAATACTTATAGCTTTTGAACGTATGCTAAGGCATTTATATTCTTTATAATATGTACATCACGAATTAAAAGCGCCATAAACTGAAGCAGCCACATGCACCCCGCGTACCGCCAGCTCCTCAGCCGCTGCGCCACTTACGTCTGTGATGACTTTGAGCGTGTGCAGGTAGGCGGCCTCCGTGTGTACCAACTCCCAGATGGCATTCTGCTGCTGGTGCCGCCTCTCCGACAGGGTCTCCGGCGCGTCCACCAGCTCCCGCCAGTCGCTCTCCAGGTTATACAGCTCTGGAATGGAGAGAGGGGAGAGAGCGTGAGAGAGAGAGAGAGAGAGAGAGGGAAGGGAGAGAGAGAGAGAGTGAGTGAGTGAGTGAGTGAGTGAGTGAGTGAGTGAGTGAGTGAGTGAGTGAGTGAGTGAGTGAGTGAGTGAGTGAGTGAGTGAGTGAGAGAGAGAGAGAGAGAGAGAGAGAGAGAGAGAGAGAGAGAGAGAGAGAGAGAGAGAGAGAGAGAGAGAGAGGGGACGCAGAAAGAGAGGTCTGAAGAGAGATAGTTCTTAAAAAACGCGCGCTTGCTGAACTACTAGAAAACAGCACATGCAAAAAAGAGCACCTGAAAAAGTCGGTAGGATTTCGTACTCGGCTTTCTACTCGGCTTTCCGCCTCGCCGTTCTCGGGCCTATTACGCAATATCCAGTCTCTAACACATGATGATGGAAGCTAGCACGACGCTAAGTGCACACCAAAGTGGTCAGCCGTAAGTGCATCAATTAACCGCCAACATGCTTCTTAGCGCCAGTCAGGCAATCACGGTAATGTACAAAACGGGTCTGCGGTAATATAATGGGTGGCGCTGAGAAACGCTTTAGCGCTGCCAGCACTCAACATCATATGAAATCCTACACATCTAACAAAGCCTGCCGTGGCAGCACCAGCAAAAACGGCCCAGCCTCAGACGTGATATGGATAGCTAACGTGACATTTCGCCGGTATTTTCAGCCTACCGTACCGCCGCCGCCGCCGCCACCGCCGCCCCACTCCTCCCCGCCCCCAGCTGTACCTACCTCCCGCCCGGAGCGGCGGGCCCCCACACTGCGCACGAGCGCCCACCGCCTGATTGAATTCCAGTATCCGTCTCGGCCAGCGCCGGATGGGGAGCGTTCGCCAATCCCTGCCCCCGGGGAGCGCGGGCCACAGCTCGCCAGGCCCTCGTCTCTGCCCCTGTCCTTCCCCGCTCCTCCCCAGGGAGACCGGCCGTCTCTGCCCCTCTTCCCCCCAGGTCCTCCCCCAGATGTCCCGGTCAAATGCGCTGCCCAGGGGACCGTGCTGACTGGACAGCCAGTAGCTGGGACCGGCCCCCTGGGTACCGGACGGTATTGGGAAATGGCCGCTGACGGCTCTGGTCGGCAAAAAGCCACGTCGAGAAAAGGTAATGGAAAAGCGGTCATAGCAACATCAGCCTCCTATGGTAAGCATCAAAATACATTGCGCAGAAAATATGGAACGACACTCGATAACAGCAAAGCAAGGATCGCATTCAACGACGCAAATGAAGTACATACATATATAAACTTAAGAAAAATAAAATATTTTCATCAATATAATGCACTGATGGACTACCGAAGGCACCCAGTGACTACCAGAGGGTCACGTTACCACGGACAGAGTATCATATCTGACAGTCACGGAGATACACTGAGAGACACAGGACCACTGACAGACAGACAAACTGACAGACTGTTGTAACTTAGAGTTCGTTTAGTTTAATTCCTGTATTCGAGTGCCTTACATATTCAAGATCAAATTATAACACCACACAGTTTGTGCCGAGAGAACGTTCAAATTTGCTCAGATAAAATATCGCGTTCTCGGCACGTACAGTTAAAACACGGATACCTCTTATGAGGTTAGTGACCTCTGACATAAAAGGTCAGTGACCAACACAACAACTCACACCCCCTAAAATGTGACCCCACTCCGCTTGTGACCTTTATGGCTCCCCTGCTTGAAAACGGAGAGGCCTGCGTACTTCTCGGCCACTTCTAGTGAATATCCTCGTCCGGCCAGAGTATGTAGTAACATCCTGGCCAGAGGACGGGTCTCCATCGCTGTGTCCATCTTCTGCTGTATCTTTCCCTTCTGTGCTCCTTTCAGCGTCATTTGAATGTTCAACAGATGACCCGGCTCCCGAGAGCGTCGTGCCCGTATCAGGGACCCTGTCATCAGTTGGGTTGCTCCTGCTGACCTCTTGTGGTCGCGGTTCAACTGGAACCGATTGTCGTGTCACTGGGCGGGAGGACATCTCGGTTACTCGCTGACGAAGCGGTGAATTGTTCCTCCTTGACTCCGTTTCAGTTCCAAGTATTCGTGTCTCGGATGAGCCTGCTCGTGGATCGGCTGCTCTCGAGGCTGGCTTGCTGGCATGTCCCAGCGGAAGCAGCTGTCCTGCGTGACGGGACCATGTCAGTCCGTCTACTGCCACCTGATAGGACACTGGTCCTGTTCGGCCAATAACATGGCCCTCCTTCCATTTTGGTCCGCCTGCATAGTTGCGTACCAGCACCTTGTCTCCAGACTGGTATTCTGGAAATCTTTTGCTGCCGTTTTCCATCTGTTTCGCCTGTGCATTTAGCACCTTGTCGGCGGGCCTTGGCTTCAGCAGGTCGAGTTTGGTACGCATCACTCTCCCCATCATAGCTTCTGCCGGGGCGACTCCAGTGGTGCTGTGCTGGGTGTTTCGGTACATCATCAGGAACGATGACAGCTGTAGTTCCAGCGGACGGTCATCTCCGCTCAGAAGACATGCTTTGAGCTTCTGCTTGACTGTTTGCACCATTCTTTCAGCCAGTCCGTTAGACTGAGGTCGATATGGTGCGATTCGGATATGTTTTATCCCCAGCTTTGTCATAAACTCTTCAAACTCTCTCGAGGTCAGCTGCGCTCCGTTATCCGTCACAACTTGCACCGGAATTCCCCACCTTGCAAATATCTTGGAGAGCTCACTGATTGTTGCTTCTGCTGTGACTGTCTTCATGGTGACTATCTCTGGCCACTTGGTATGACTGTCTACTACGACTAGGTAATGTTGACCTCTGAAAGGTCCTGCGTAATCCAGATGGATCCGCTCCCACGGGTTCTTCGTATGTTCCCACGGATGTAGAAACACCGCTGGTCTCTCGTTTTGTCCAGCTTGACATCCTGCACAGCCTCTTACAGCTTCTGTCACATCTTCATCGATCTTTGGCCACCAAACATAACTTCGTGCCAACATCTTCATCTTGCTGATGCCTGGGTGGCTGCTATGAAGTTCACTGAGCACCTCGGCTCGCAGATTCTCCGGAACCACGACTCTGTTACCCCAGAGAATACAGCCACAGGTGAGCGACAGTTCACTCCTCTTTGCTTCAAACGGTTGCAGCTCGGATGGGATCCTTTCCGGCCAGCCGCTGAGGAGGTACTGTGCCACCTTTGATAGAACTCTGTCTCGACCAGTGGCCCTCTTGACGTGTTCACAGGTGAGTGGCGCCATCCTGTCCCACTGCTCCAGGAAGCACACTGAAGCTTCATCTGTGATCCTGTCAGTCTCCTCTGCTTCCGGAACTGGCAAACGAGACAAGAAGTCAGCCATGGGAATGTCTGCTGCTTTTCTGTACTCCACATCATAGGTATACTCTGCCAGAATCAACGCCCATCTTTGCATTCGGGCAGCTGCTAGAGCAGGGCCTGGTGTCTTTGGTCCCAGCATCGTTGTCAGTGGCTTGTTATCAGTCACTAATGAGAACTTTCTGCCCCACAGGTACTGGCGGAACCGTTTCACACCGAAGATAACGGCCAGCCCTTCCCGTTCGACCTGGGCATAATTCTTCTCGGCTGTGGATAGGCTTCTGGAGGCAAATCTGACAGGCCTCTCGTTCCCGTCTCCGTCCACCTGCACGAGAACGGCTCCTAAGCCATACGGACTGGCGTCCGTGATCAAACGCACTGGCTTCCGTCCGTCATAATGTGCCAAGACGGGTGCTTGAGTGAGCCTCTTCTTCAGCTCGTTGAAGCTGGCTTCTTCAGTCGCCGTCCATTTCCACTTCTGGCCCTTCTTCAGCAGTCTGTGCAGCGGCGCTGCCACTTTCGACATGGCAGCCACAAATCTGGCGTAGAAGGTCACAGCTCCCAGGAAGCTTCTCAACTCGCCCGTGTTCCGAGGTCTGGGAGCGTCCAACACCGGGGTCACCTTCTCCTTCACTGGTTTCACGCCGTCACCGCTGAGTTCCACTCCAAGATACCGAATCGACTTCATCATGAACTCGCACTTTTTCCTTTTTAGGACGAGCTTCCACTTCTTCAGTCGCTTCAGCGTTTCATTTAACCGCTCTAATGTTTCAGCCTCTGTTGGTCCCGCTACAAGGACGTCATCTTGGAAGCATGTCACTCCTGGAAGGCCTTCAAGCACCTTCTCCATCGTGCTTTGGAATATAGCTGGAGAGGCTGCTATCCCGTATGGTAACCGCTTCATCTTCAGCAGTCCCCTCGGAGTGTTCAGCACCGTCATCATCTGGCTCTCTTCGTCCAGCGTCATCTGCAAATACGCTGTGCTGAGGTCCAACTTGCAGAACAACTTCATATCTGGCAGCTTTGCCAGAATGTCTTCTAAGGTTGGCATTGGATGTTTCGGAACCTCAAGCTGAGGGTTCACAGTGCACTTGTAGTCACCGCAAATCCTGATGCCTCCTCCGGGCTTCGGAACCACCACCAGTGGCGTTCCCCAGTCAGAATATTCGATCTTCTCAGCAATTCCACTGTCTTCCCATTTCTTCAGCTCGCTCTCAACTTGGTCTTGCAGGGCATATGGGACCGTTCTGACTCGCTTGAAAACGGGCTCTGCCGTTTCCTTTAGCCTCAAATGGGCCTTTACGTCAGCCAGTTGTCCTAACTTGTCTTCAAACACATCCTTGTTCTCATTCAGAATCGCTTCGAGTGATAGGCGCTGGCTGCCGTTCTCCGCTACTTGATTGACGTGTTTCCCGGTGGATATCAGTCCGAGCAGCTCCGCCGTTACTCCACTCAGAAGCGAAACTTGGCCGTGGGCCGCGATCAGCCAGCAGCTCTGGACCTCTCTGCCGTTCACCGCCGTTGTCGCCAAGAACTGACCATCCAGCTTCAGAGGGATCTTCGAGCCATACGGCAGCAGACGCCGGTTGGTCTTCACTGTCTTGAAACCGACCAGTGTTTTGAAGTCCTTTCTTGTTATAATATCTGCTGAGGCTCCTGTGTCAACCAAAACCCTCACAGTCTGACCGTTTAGCTGCACTGAGGTCAGTGTGCCACGTCCTTCAGCGCTGCTGCTCTCGGACGTGAACGCAAAGTCGTCGAAATCACTCACTGTCCGATCTGCTTCGACTTCGTCTCTTGTGGCATTCACTCGCCGCTTGTAGCTCGGTCCATCATCTTGGCGGCTTTTGCACATCTTGGCAAAATGGTTCTTGCCTCCGCACTTGTTGCACGTTTTCCCTCTGGTGACTAAACAGTCACTCGCTTTGTGCGAACTCCTTCCGCATCGGTAGCATGGGCCTCGACTCTGTCCGCCTTTTCTGTCGCCGTGTTGGAACGGACTTTTCTGGCCTTTTTCACCGACGACTCGGTAGGCCGACACTCCTTCTTTCTTCGGCTCCTGCTCCGGACTCGGATTGACTTCTTTTGTCAGATTCATCTCTTGAAGTTTCTTTGCCTGTACTCGGACCTGCAGAAACGACTCCCACATTTTGATTGCATCTTCTGCCGTCAGGTGCTGTGCCTCAAGCATTCTGACTTGCAGCGAAGAGTGCGGACACCGTGAGATTATCATATCACGAATGAGCTCAGTTTTCTGCTCCCGAGTAAAGTCACACTTCTCTGCCTGTTTCTTCAAGCGCCCCACAAAATCTCTAATATTTTCATCTCGGTCCATCATGGTCATGTTGTGGAATATGTTCCTTTCGTACAGAGTTCGGACCTGGGGTTTAAGAATACGTCTCAGCTTTGCTTTGGTGCGTTCATAGTCATTTGGCAGTGCTGAATCGGATTCAATTTCAGCCATATCCTTTAGTTTCTGTTGGATGTCAGTGCCCAGTAAATGAAGCAGCAGTGCTCTCTTCCGAGTCACTTCTTCTATGCCTAAAGCACACAGGTACACTTCAAATCCATCTAGCCATATATCGAAGTCTTCACCTTCATGGAACTTCTCTGGAGTGCTGAGACTGAGCGCCATATTTACTTGCTGTGGCCTGTTCCGGGTCCACAGTGATATCCACAATTATATGCAACAGTCGCGACTCAGTTCACCGTTCAACCTCACTCCAACTCAATCAAACGTCTGTTAAGTTACTTTGCACCAAGCTTCTCTCAAATAAAAATTATCATGATAACACTCGATATCTGACGTTACGTTACTCTACTTAATTAGTATCTCATCCTTGTCGCCATTATGTTGTAACTTAGAGTTCGTTTAGTTTAATTCCTGTATTCGAGTGCCTTACATATTCAAGATCAAATTATAACACCACACAGTTTGTGCCGAGAGAACGTTCAAATTTGCTCAGATAAAATATCGCGTTCTCGGCACGTACAGTTAAAACACGGATACCTCTTATGAGGTTAGTGACCTCTGACATAAAAGGTCAGTGACCAACACAACACAGACACTGACAGACACAGGGCGGCGACTCACCCTCCTCCTCCGCGGCGTCGCCGTCAAAGTTGACCAGGTAAGGCAAGCGCGGGATGCCGTGTGTGCTGTAGTTGTCCAAACACTGGATCATCTGGTCCATGCGGGCAGCACTCGGCTCCTGGAGGGAAGAAAAGGTCCGTAGTGAGTACAGGGTGGAAAGTAATTACGCGAACATACTTTTTCGTCTTCTAGTAATGAAAAAAACGGCGGTGACATAAACAATATATGTTTTACTTTATCCTTATCTAGTTGCGATGCATTGACATAGGCGTTCCGGCATGATTTACATCAGCATGTGAAGATCTGTTGGCCAAAGCTCAGCCCACACCTTATGGAGCTGTCCAGTGAGGTAATCGGTATTGGTGGCTCCTTGCAGCTTTTAGACGGTCTCCTGAGGAGTCATCTGGAGATTTTTAATCGAATTGAGGCCCAGGCGTTTCCCAGATCAGCTTTTGTATGTCCTGAAGAAAAACAGGTTCTCACAGCACCAGTATTGCGTTTTGTTGGCCGTGAAAGTAAGGATTTCACCAATCACGAAGAGCAGTTTCTTTGCGTCAGGCACAAAAGTGCGCTCAGTCATATTGCCCCTTTCGTTGCACGGTGGATTAGACTGAGACACTCGTCTTGGAGGATGTTCCACCGGTTGTATACTTTATTTTTAGTGACCTTTTTAGCGCTACACGCAATTCTGACACCACCCGGGGGCTCGTGACCCACTGATGTGTTCCTTTGCCGGATGTTTGAAGGTTGGGACGGACGGGACATAGGACGCAACAGCAGCCCTCAGAGCAGTTGTTCTGCAGGTTTGACGGATGAAACAGTTTCACAGATGTCTCACCCAACCACAAATCCAGCTGCCTGTCCTCCTCTGTCCATCTTTGATTGTCTTTGAAAAGCTTCAATTAACAATTCTGCTGTTAATTCGTGAATTTTGGTCATCCCGAGGGTTTGTACGACTTAATTTTCGAATTTTTGCGTATTAATGTGCGAATCGTGATATCCTAGATCGGGTACCCGGCCAGAGTAAGCTATTTTGCCAGTTTTCGGGTCGACTGGCGTCGTTTTGTCGCCGACATGGTGACCACCCGCCCGGCGGCAGAATTCGCCGAGGGGTTGCTGCCGCGGACGGCTTTGCTTTTTAAGTCCTCTCAAGTGTTATTATGTTTAAAAAAAACGTATAATTGTGCAATGCTGGTGCTGAGACCGCTACGAATCCCCTCTCCGCCAATCCAGCGAAAATAATCATAAACGCTTTCCCTGGCAGCTCCAAATTGAGCTCTTTGCCCATTTCGGTCTTGTGCAGCGTATGGTGTCTGCACCATTTTAAGTCGAGAGGTGTTTAAGACCTTCCAGGTCATTGTTCAAAGTTGGGTCACTTTTGGTAGATGAGGCGACAACAAACACGACCAATTATGTTCCATGACAGCCCGTACTCATAATAATGCTCCACTGACGGTCAAAATTGTAAGAAAATACATGTTCGCGTAATTACTTTCCACCCTGTAGCACTATGCTAACCGTTGAAATACAACTGGTTTGATTTTTGACATTGCTGAAGCCGTAAGAACAATAATCATCCTCAATCTTAAGCTTATCACAGCAGCCAAGGGATCAGTCTGTTAAAGGGTTACAAAGAGCGCCCAGCAGTAGCTCAAAGAGAGCGTGCGTCTCAACAAAGTCCATTGGCGCAAGGCATATTTACGTTGCATTGCTACTTTATGCATCGCGATTAAGTGTAGCTATCTGCTTATAAGGGCCTGGCGCCGGCGAGTAGCCTCAATCCCTTAAAAAAGCAAGGCACATCCCGTGAAATTGAGGGATTTCAAAAGGCGAAAGTTCCATCTTTAAATCCGCGATCATCTCATTGGTCGTTTGCCCTCAGCCATTGGGAGTCTCTCATATTCGGAGGTCAAAGCGAGCCTCTGAAGCCGGCAGTAAACAGGCGACTAATTTCACGGGCTATTAACCACGGCTCGATTGAGCGCTGCTCTCGTCAATTTCCACCGGACGGCGATAAATATCAATACTTCACAGGAGCGAAAAACACAGCACACGGTTCAATAAGGCTATGATAAAATTATTTACGAGTGGCTGCGATAACTTTCCTAATAACCTTGATCAAATAACACAATAAAAATAACATATGATCTCATCTGTGAATATTAGAACTGCCAAAATGAAATAAGTAAAGCTTGGTCTGCAACCTGAAAAATAAGCGTAGCTTTCGACTGGAAATTATAATATGAAAGCACTATCCGACTTTCGAAATGCATCACATCTCGCAAAAAGTCTACTGAGATCTAAAACACTATTTTCGCACAGGTTGTCTTTGAAAATTCACCATTCGAACAAAAAGTTACTCGGAGAAGAAGATACGCCGCACTTAAGTGGCCAATCAAAAGAATCCTGGTTGCGGCACTCATTGACGTCTCGACTTATCGTATTGAGTACTAAACGTTTTATAAGTCCACAACCTGGCCCGCTTCCATTTCCGCTATCAGAATCGCAGGTCAGGTCGTCGGCCCCTCCTAGCTGGCGCTCGCTCCGTAAAAACATCGCCCTTCCATTTCACCCCGGGACCGGCGGCGCACATAGCGACTTCGGCGTCACCGATTGACTCAACAACATTTCCACCTCCGACAGCAATTTGGAAACAAATCAGGGCCTTTCAGTCGGCAGGCGGTCGCTCGGAAAGTGCTGCATACTGAGCGCCTGGGCTCGGGGAGGGTGTGAGCTGGGGCGCCGCTCACTGCCGCCACCCGCCTCAGTAACGTAAATCCCTCGGACGGGTCGTCTTACCGCTCGGACACCAGAAGACGTGGCGGCTAAACAAGGGATTGTCGTATCAGCGGCGTGATCACAGCGCCGACAGCAGCGGGAACGATCGGGATTTCCAGGCCTTGGGCTTTATGGCCGGTTTGTTTTTGTTTTCGTGTTTTGTCTTGACGCTGTTATGCCGTTTAGGTATGAAATATCGATAAATTTACTTTTATATTTTTTCGTATAGCTAGACTTAGCCGTAATTAATTCGACAGCGTTATGACCGTGACGACTTTTTTGTATAAAATGTCGAACTCGGCAGCAACGAAGCCCGGTAAACAAAGCCTATCGCTGTCTAAAAATACGCAGTCTATGTCTGAGCTTATATTTTATCTAACACTCACAACAAAGGCTAAGGGAAAAGCCCCGAGAACACACCCGAGACCATGCAATATTTTACATTTTTCATTGATCTGTATATCCCCACACCATCCCCGCCCCTAGACTGACCTCTGCGACCAACCCCACTCGTGCTGCCCCTGACTGACCTTCATTGAGCTGTTACTGAAGATGCCACTCCAGCGCGTATGCTGTTTGCTGGTCTTGTTGACCTTCAGGGAGCCCTCAGAGGAACCGGGCGCGGGTCCGTCCCCTGAGGAGGTCTCCTCGGCACTGTTCATCAGCTTGGTCACCATACCGCGGTAACTCTGACGAGAGGACACGGCCGCATGTCAGAGGTCACGGGTCGGGTCACAGGTCACCCGGGGTCAGGTGACAGGGAAGGTCACAGGAGGACAAAACGGCAACGGATGGTGGTTAGTACCAAGTGGGTATGTGATAGAATACGAGATAGGTTAGTGTAGCGAGATATACGAGATAGCTCGTATGATAGCTTAGTATGACATCAAAACACCACCCAAATCAACCACTTCTTCATTTTATCGCTAGTAGATACACACTTAAGATACTAAAACAGATACCGAAGACGCCACTAACATGACCTATCTTCATTTATCTTCAATCGGCTGCTGTGAGCGCTACTGTTCCTCTCATTACTGACGTCAAAGTGGCAGCATTACTCGTTACTCACCCCTGAGGACTTGCGCGTAGGTGCTGACGAGTGGCTGGAGGACGACTTTGACCTCACCGGACTCTTGCTGTCGTGATCACGAACTGTGGAACAAACAAACATTGTCTCAGGATGCGGCAACAAATAGGAATCGAGCCCGATAACACCGGATCAAGAGCTAGAGGCAGTCGAAGACTGCAATCAATAACAATATTATACTCAACAGGCACTTCGTTATCGCGGCTAACGAGACAACAAACATAAACACACTCTCTCTCAGACTATGTAGTTCTGAAGTTCGGCAAAAGGCACCAGACATTGTCGAGCACATACTTCAGAAGTCCGACAAACATACTGACGAATGACGAAGCGGAAATGGCTGTTACGTTGCAGGGCGAAGAGCATGCCAGCCCTACACAAAAATGGTTATAAGAAGGAAATGTAATTCGCTTTTTATGCATTGCAGTTTAGAGAAACTGTTCCAAACCAAAGTTTCCCAGACTTTGTTTGAGTACGGATATGAGCAACTTTTCAGCGATTGCAGACGCCGCCGAGTAGACGGTTACCCTGGCGACGTTCCTGGATCCGCCGCCGTCTGCGATAACTGCTGTCACGCCGCCGGCATGGCAACGACATTCAAACAGGCTAAATCAGTATTATTTGCATCTTACACCAGACTTTAAACAAAATAGTACCTGCACCAGTTGAGTCTTTTCTCTTGTATGTACTTCAAAATCTCGTCAACTCTAGACGAAATCATGCATGCTGTCGGCGTTCAACATATGCACAAAACGCAACAAACACAATCCCCCTCTTCCACTGCCGTTCACCCCTCCGGCCGATGTTCCCGTGGCCCTGCCGCCGTTTCAGTCCCTCACCTTTGATGCGCAGGTGTTTTCCGCCGAGCCAGTAGGTCTCTGTGGTGAGCAGCGGCAGCGGCGTGCGCCCGTTCTCCAGGTACACGCTAATCGAGTCGATGTCGATCCGATGCTGCTCACACACCTGGCTCAGCGCCTCCCTGAGAACACCGCCGGCGCGGTCAGAGGCGCCGCCACCCAGACCAGACGTTTGGAGTAGCGGCAGGCGAAAATAGACCGGTCCTCATATTTCTGGCGCAGAGATCCGCTTGTAAGCTGTTACTGGACATGCTATATTCGAACGATGCTGCGCAGTTGTGTGCGTTTGATAGCACGCCTTTTTGAAACGTGTGTTGCACAAAGAGTGGATTAATCCAATTGGCTTATTACTAAGTGCAGCAATAGTAACAGTGAATTGAGCGTAGAGGATATTTTGCATAATCGGACACCCAACAATGCCGAACGTTACAACCTGCATTCATCGACTCTAAACCCATGATCAACGTGCTGATGTTTGTCAAACTTTCCATTCATTACAATTTCGTAACATTAGAAATGCATTAGCAGAAGTAACATTATTTACGAGTGTCATATTTCCAAAGACGGACCATAAAGGAAGCATCATAAAATCAATCTATATAACTGCTGGTAAGTTACGAGCCATCAATTTGGAGAGCATTTCGGGGCTGCCGGGTTCCCGCGCCGGACCAAACGGGCCTCGAGACAATACTGAGCACGGCCATTATAGACACTGGCACAGCGAACAGTCAAACATCAATAATCGAAGGGCTTTCTCAGAAGCACCCCGCTCGGAGCCCGCAGAGCTCAGTGGGAGTCGAAAACCAAGGGAGAGCACATTCACGGACCATCTTCTTCTGCGTGAGCCACGCAGAAGAAGATGTAGTGTAACAGGGAGGACAAAATGAAAAGGTTAAAGGTAGACGAATAAAAATGAATGCAACAGAGAGAAAAATGAAGAAAGAGCCGGTAACCCATGATCGGTTCAGCGCTAGACATTATTTTCACCGTGGCTAGCCCAAGTGTACCACGGTACTGCGCAGCGTCTGCTGTTTCCAGCTCATTCGTCACCGTTCAGCAATTTTTCAGTGTGCGCCTGGCACCAGCGCGGCCCCATTTCAGCACCAACCATTAACTGTCGCCCGACATTATCAACAAAAGGACTCGCGCGGCGTCGTGTTTGAGCGGCCAGCGGGGCCACTCCCGACAATTCTATTTGGTGCCGCCAACACGGACCGTGACGCTGATACTGACGTTAGCTGTCGCGCCGGTTCTCCACACAACTCACCTGAGGACAGTGCCTTTGACGGCAGAGACGAACTCTTCAGGAACCTCTTCCGACGAATTGACGTCGAAGCTGACGCTGAAGCACTCCGAACTGACCACCTGAGTGACAGAAGAGACGACCGTCACATCTCTAGACGAGGGTAACGTGACACAGAGAGAGGGAGATCTCCAGCCAGTGCGCACAGGTCCACTCACACTCAGCGAGCCACCCGGGAACACTGTCCATCTGCACAAACGATAGTCACATCAGCGCCAGTCGCATGTTTCAGAGCTGGATAAAAAGCTGTAATGTTACATCATAACTAGCTGCTGTGAGATCAATGAGCGGCCACATCTGTGTGAGTCATAGCGAGGCGACGGGACAGTGACGCTGTCAATTCAACACAGTGTGACACAGAGCGAGGTACTGCCGAGCATAACAGAACAACGGAGTAATTAGGGCAAACACGGTTCATTACGAAACATCGTTGTCCACTTTAAGATTACACGAGTGATGAAGTCGGCCGTTATCAGGCGTGAAGTAGCTGCTCAGCGTTCGGGTTTCAAACTCAACTAGCACATTCAGTTTATTGTTAGCCGACACAACGGAGCGACGACTAAAAATCAACACAGCCTTGGTTACTTTCTCATCATACCCTCTCCGTCCCATACCGAGCTCTCAAACCAGTTACCCTTACGAGGTTCCACAATTGGCTGGCCCTCATACACCACCGCTTTAACGCCCACAACTCTCTTCCCGCCACTAGCCTACTTCCCGCCTCATTTCCGCGTTTCTTATGACCGTTACCATCTCCTTCAGCCCTCACAGGCCGCCACCGGCCAGTGTCAGTCCTCAGTCACTCTCCATCAGTCCTCACTCCTCAGTCACTCTCCATCAGTCCTCAGTCACTCTCCATCAGTCCTCAGTCTCTCTCCATCAGTCCTCAGTCTCAGTCCCTCTCCATCAGTCCTCAGTCCCTCTCCATAGATAGCGCCGCCGAGTGTCGGGCCACGGCCACCTGTCCGAGATCAGAGCAGCAGCCCGGCGACATCTGGCCGCTGGGTGGGGCTCGTGACAAGCCCCAGGTCGGCCATAAAACCGCGCCCGAAACAGACGCCGGCCGGCCGTCGGCGGCGTTTATAGGGCGCGTCGGGTCCCCGAGAGCCGGCGAGTCATTCCGAGTCAATTCGAGGCAGCAGGTCGCCGCTGCAAGGCTGGGATCGCGCCGTCAATCTCCGACAAACGCAGGGTGAGCGGGTCCCCGTTCAGGTAATATGCCATCGCTCGCGCGCGGCCACTCTCGGCGGCAGATTTATACCGCATCGGGACCCCGTTGAAATCGAGACCGTGATTGGAGGCGATTTAATCGGAACAAGAAGCAGCATCTCATGCTCGGCAATCTCCGTTTACGTGCGTACGATTTAAGGACATAAGCAATAGACATCCTCGGGCAAGTCACAGCTCTGAAATATTGAGAAGCGCAGCAGACATCACCAATGCCTCCAAAACGCAAGTATTTTCCTTTTCACTCAGTTCCACACTGTGCCGAGGAAAATCCGTCTTTGTTATTTTTTTTTTTATCATATCCATCGACCTTCGGTCTGAGCATGTAGTGCCGAGCTCTCGCATCCATTGCGTCTAGATGCCACATTTTCAGGTGCGGCACTCCGCGGTCCATCAGTGATGTCTCCGACCATATCACCCATCCCTCAGCGGCCATTTGCAGTGTGTGACATGATTTTGGCGGAGATCAGAGTAAGGTAGCGGAGGAGGCGCGGCAGCCGAGGTGGCGGAGGAGGCGGGAATCGAGGGGGCGGCGGCGGGAGTCCGAGTCTGAGTCTGAGTCAGAGCAGGCGGCGGAGTCGGAAGCGGTGGTGGAGGCGGAGGCATTCCGCCACGGTGCGATGATTACACTCCATCGTCAGGAGAAGATGGCGGCTCCGTGCCCCTGTCCTCTCCGGATGTAATGACGGCTCTCAGAGGCGGTAAAAAGGCAGCGGCCACCCACAAGGCTAGTCCTTACGGAGAAGGTTCTGTTTTTGGAAGGCAGCGGCTCAACGATGAAAAAAGAAGATTGATAATGCGGTAAAAATCAAGGAAAAACAAAACAAAAATAAAAATAAAAACGTCGCACATCGTTATTGGGCATTACCTAAAACAATGCACTAGGAAAGACACGAAGATCATTTATCTTAACCTGAAAGTGCTAAATAAATACCAAGCGGGTTTCTCTATAAAAAACCTTGTCGAACTAATTTATCTTTTAAAGCAATGCTAAACGCATTAAATTCAGTGATTGCAGACCGTTGGCAACGAATCAGTCATCATCAGAAGCCCTAAAATCAAACAAAACGCTCAGCTCGAGCCACCGCTTTGAACAGGCCCCAGCAACGCAGCGGCCGATTGCCGGTACGAAGAGTTTCAAACCAATATCCCAGAAAACAGAGCTAGAGTATGTAAAACCAAGTGGCGTAGGACAATATTCTCCTTGACGACACGCCTGGGCCGCCGACAGCAGTTGGAGCGTCGGCGGCCGTGCCACGTATTGCACATCTGCCGATAGCTCTGCCGTCCCACACCTGCGGTTCAGTCAGCTGAATCGGGTCGTTTCTGAGGCGTTCGAGGCGCTCAAACGGCCGTGTTTGTGCCGCTAAAACGGCGACAATCGCAGCGCTTCTGAGGCGTTCGCGGCGCGTCGTCTAGCGCCAGAGCGAGTCCAAAGGAGCCCAATTTCAGCGGCCGAGTCGGCTCGTTCAGGTAACCAGACCCCAGTCGCGGACGGAGATTTCTGTCGTTCGTTTGGAGTCTGTCACCTGCAGCCGCCGACTTGCTCCTCTTTCCTATCCAATCCCAGCCACTTCAGCGGAAACAGGTCTCCGCGGTCGGCGCGCGACGCTCTTCAGTGACGGAGGCGAGCCGTGTGGTCGAGGAGAGTCGCTAAAATATGGCGGCCTTGAGGCGTAAACAGGCCTCTCGGAAGCGCTATGAATATAGATGGAGATGGCGTCCGACCTCCCGTCGGACGGGAGAGCTAGACGGCAGAGAATGGTCGGGAGCCGGGACCGGCCGAGCGGCCGCCGCCGCGGGCCACATTGATCTGCATTGGCCATACCGTATGATTGATTACCACCGCGATGGGGTGCTTTGTATTCAAAATGAAAAGACGTAAATGCGCGCTGATTCGTGCACAACAGCTCTCATTTAGGAAAGAAACTCATCACACATTAAGCCATTAAATACATTACATTTATGTACCCATTAAATACATGAACGTAATGAAAACATAAATCAGAAGACCCACACTACATATTTTTGCAAATGAATATTGATACAAATATCTGATAAGTTCTTTCCACCAACGGTGATTTAGTAGGCATTACGTAAGTGCATTAGGCAAGTGCATAATTACGCTAAAAATCATTAAGATCATAAATATCCTAGCCAGCCCCCCAAAAAGGAAAACGACACAAAGCATTGTTATTCCCTGACAGCGCTCTGTCGACGTTGCCACCTCCATCCGACCCCGGCATAGGTCATCAGAGCCGGCACCGCGGCACGGCAAGCCGAAACGAGCCGGTAGCGGGGTGCAATGGGCGCCTCTCGTGATAGACCGCCACTGATTACTCACCGGCTCAGCACAGGACGCGCCGCTCCGCTGCCGAAAGGCCGCATCGTGTGTCCGACCCTCACGTGTCCGTCACGTGCGCCGTGACGTCACACTACTGACTGTGACGTCACGACCCTTGTAGCAGCCGTGATGATTATTTCGAGTCATCCTTAACAGTTTTTTATGGGAGATGAAATTAATTGTTTTGAGATTTCACATTTTTCGACCTCGGCTGGTCGTTTTCCCACACTAATTTCCATCGGTTTTTCGTAGATCATTTCTTTTCGCTCACAGCCAGTGTCTTCAATTTTCCCTTAAATTAAAATCCCGCCGGATTTCTCCGTCCCGTTAATTCCCGTCCTCACCCTGATCTCATCCTACCCCACCATCCAGCAGTCTCATCGACCAGGTGGACGCGCTCTCTAGTTCTGGATCGGTGCCCAGAGCCGCTGACGAACCGCCGAGGACGGTGTGTGCCTAGCCTTCCCTCCGCTCCTCCCCTCCCACTCCCCCTCCCTCCCCCTGGGGTCGGTCAGTAGGCTGATGACCCGTCGGATCAGGGAGCCCAGGTCGGAATGAAATGCCGCCATGGGGTAATGGATATGTCGATTACCGATTGTCAGCCAGCTATTGAGAACATTGCGACGGCTAGTAGGTTTGCTGTCTGTTTAGAGCGAACAACTGGCATGTACAGGGTACCAACATCAATTAGATTTATACCTGACCACCTAGACGACGGTAAAACTCGTGCAGGCCTCTACAGAGCCATTTTAAACTTAAGTTACATTCGTGATCGACGTCTAAATTGATACGAGGGAGTAAAGAAAAACAAAACGCAACCCCTACCTCATTCTGACTTTTGCTCCCCGATCCCTCTTGCCACCCACCCACATCGGCCATCCCGCCCTCAGGTGACCTCGGTTTTCGGGTCGATACCTCCCACCAGCACTCTCCTTATTGTGAGCGATACCTCCCACTAGCACTCACCTTATTGTGGGCGGCCAGCTTCTTCCTGCGCATGCCGCCGCTCTCGTGCAGCCGACCGGGGGTGTCCGGCTCCGAGAGTCGGTCACCGTCCTCCTGGTGCACCAGCATCGCCGGGTCGAGCGTGTCGATATGCGTCAGACTGCGCGACCGGCCCTGCTGGGGAGCAAGAATTACAGGGGTCAGATTTCGGGGGACGGTAAGAGGGAGATTGCTGTTGGGGAGATAAAGAGAGGGCGAGAGAAAAGATGGGAAGAGGAGGAAAAGGACAGAGAAGAGAAAGAGAGCATCATCTAGGTGGAATTACGTTTAGTTTTCCTCACTGTAATAAGTGGGGAAATGTTCATCGAATTACGTGAGCTTAGTCATATAGCACATTAAGATCTGCTGCTATAGCTGCAATATATTACAATTATAACGTGCAAGAACAATTACATGAGTTCATTATTAACCCGCGCCCCGTTGGGCTCTGCCGAGCAACGCGCCCCGTTGGGGGGGGGCCATTTTGGCCCCCCCCCTAAGATCTCGAGAACCACGCAACGTAGCGACAAGCGGCAAACGGTGTTGGATAGCCCTATCAGGGAACTACCTTGTGACCCAATTTTATTGACCTAGGTCAAACCGATGACGTCACAGGTCAGGTCAAAGTTCCAATTTTCACCGTTTACAGGCATTTCAAGAAATGCGTTGTAAAATCGAGTAAAATGCATTTCATTGAAAATCATCGATGGGGAAATGTTCTTCAAACACATATTTTGCTAGTTGAGGTCACTGATACCAGGTCAGGTCACTGAGGTCAGGTCACTGGAGGGTCACAATATGAAAGTGTCGTGTGATACATGTTTTATGGTCCATTTTACATGACAAATGCGATTATGTGGGTCAGGCAGCCTTTGGGGCCAGCTTAGGTCACGTTTTGGTCAAGGTCAGGTCAAGGTCAGGTCAAGGTCAGGTCAAATAAGGTCAAATTTCAAAGTTGATATTTTTGCATAAAATGGGTATCGAATCGATGCAGCTCGTCACGGGGAGTTCAATGGTGGTCTTTGTTTTGCCGTACGAGGTCTAGAATCGCTAAAAGTTGAGTTCAAAAATTTGACGTCATCATTTTTGAACAGTTTTTTCGCTATAACTTGGCCAAAAAACGAGACATCGATCTGAAATTTGGTATGTATATAGAAGAGCGCAGGGACTATCACATATATTCCGGTTTTTTTTCGAAATTCGGAAAAATTTTGGATTTTTTTTTAGTTTTTCTAAAAAAATCAATTTTTTGAAAATTTTTGGGTCAAAAACCCAAAATTTTGAAAATCCGAGATAGCAGTTTTGTAGCGCCGCTTTTTGTCTATTAGACCATATAAAGAACTTTGAAATTGCTCGATAACTGTAGATTTGGTGAGCGTTTCAAGATTGCATGTTTTTTGCTCATTTTTGCTCGAACATGACCTCAGTTTGACCTCAATAACTCCTGACCTAAGGTGACCTAAGACTTGAAATTTGGTGTGAAGGTGTCAAATTGATGCCCGGAAAGGTACTGAAAATTTGGCGGCGCTGCGCGCCGCCGTTTTCTTGCTATTCAGGAAAAACCACAGGGGGGGCCAAAATGGCCCCCCCCCAACGGGGCGAGGGTTAACAGACACCGTAAACATAATTAAGGCAAGGCATCGGTGCAATAACGATAAAAGCATTCAACATAGTTCCGCTAAGTCCAGGAAGCAAGTTAAATGCCAGAAACATACTAAGTTCGACGTAAATAATGCCCAAGGGATACGGTAAATCGTTCAGTCACGCGACGTACTACTTCAATCATCTACTCCCAGGCCTATAAGGCTAATAATACGGACATTAACGCAGCTGTTGGAAGAGTCGGCGACCATTTCGTCCACGCCATCACAGCTACGTCATCCGCCATCTGCTGTGTCATCGCTGTATCATCCCACACCGACCAGCGCATGGCTTCCCGGTACGAGTGCGTATGCCGCGGCATATTACCGTCGGCCCGACACTTTGTCAACAGGCGCACCAATCGGCCGACTTAGGCACCGCTGGCTAACCAAACAGCCAGTCGGCCGGCCGTATTATTACCGCCGACAGATGGGCGCCGCACCCAGCGCGTGCAGTGCAATAATCGTCACCGTGACCCGCGCGCCGTCGATGTCGACGATATGGTGTCACCGCTCGTCGGAGTCGACGCGCGCCGGCGGTATGGGGCGAGGCGGGCGAGGAATGGGAGCAGCACGCTGGGTGGAACGAACGCTTCCGAGTCGCCGTCGAACGGGGTTAGGGGGCCGGCGCTCGGCTCTCCCGGCGGGGGGCCGCGAACAGTGTTCTGTAGCGTACTGAGGAGAGATTATTAAAGTGCTGTCAAGTGGGGTGTCGCATTGAAACCAGATAAATAGCAGCATAGGCTACTGTAATACATAAACTATTGCATTATGTAGAGTAGCCTATGATAGCAGAGGTACGATTTTAAGCGAGTGGTAAAAGAACTCAAAAGACAATAATTCAGCACCGTCCTATAGCAAACGCAGACTGAATTATTGCTGTAACAAATACCTGTAACACATAACGTACATGCAGTTTAACAAGCCACTTTGTATTGGTTCAATAGAGCCGTTTATATGCACCCGCTAAGGCACATTTATTATCTGTAAGCAAATTATCCACCTAAATCGGGGCGCACTTTATCACAACAGCGCCAAAGGTGCAAATGACAGTTTGACTAAGTGATTGTTGGCGGCCAGAGTTTCGAAGCTGTGCAGTTCCTCTAAAACATAACATATGAGACGTGGCTTTCTCGCTCGCTTTCGCCAGCACTGTATCGCGATTTATGAACGCTACATTTCTTTATTTTTATGTGTTATTTTTCTCCTTGTTCTAAAAAAAAGTTTATAAGCTCCTGAAAATAGAAAAACAACAACCCAATAGTGGTCTGCTGGCAATAATGAGCTGCGTTATTTTTATTATCCTTAACTAGAAAGAGCTATATTCAATTCCAACCAAATCAAAAGAGGCATATGTATTCTCATGACCGAGTCTTGACACTAATATCGTTCCGAGAAAAATGCTGCATTCATTGCGTTGAGTTGATATTTATTCCTACCACGAATTGACTCCTTGACAGCTTTATTCTAGCGTCATTTTAAGTTTCCTGAACCGAATAGCTGACGGTATGACTGCGAATATTCAAGGCTGATATCTGAATTCTACATTTGCTGAATCACCAATCAAATCCAAATGGCCAACTCGTTTGGCCCCAATCTCATTATTTACTTTGATTTGCTGATCACAACGTAACTTTCTGCAAACAGCTTCAAACCTGCTTTGAATAAATGCAAGAGTTCCACAACCGTCTAGAGCCGAGACTTTCAAAAGTCTCTCAGCAGGGCAGCCGCCCAGCTCTCAAAAGGCAGAGCGGTGCCGTGATGGGTCCATTCTGTGCCACGTCAGCCCCCAACAGATGGACGCGGGAAAATAGCGCGCCAGCTCCGCCCGCCTCCCCCGACGGACACGGTTTAAGCGAATAGTCTGGTATGAGAACGCAGACCGACGTCACTGAAGAATGAGCGACGAGAAAAATACCGACCAGACTCGAGAAAAAGGAAAAGAGCACGTCCTTGTCGCAATAAATCCTTCCACGTACTTCGACAAAATAATTATATAAAATATAAAGGTGACCGCAGGATATGAATTGATGAACGCCAAAAGACATAAGAAAAGGGAAGAACTTATTCGCGTAAATATTAAATCTTTGTCCCATCCCATTTTCGACATTTTCCGGCGACTATTTGAAATTGAGATGCGATCACCCTTGACATTCAATCCCCATCGCTGCTGCGGCGAAAGCCGATATCACCTAAACGGATTTAGCTGTTAAACGGATTTTCTCCATCATTGCGCCTTTTATGAGCGAGATATTTCCCGAGTCATCTCTCGGCTCTAGGCCAAAACACTTCTTCCACCAGCCGTGCACTTTCTTCTGTTTTGTGGAATGTATTAAAGTTGCATCTAGCTATCAGTATATCGTATCAAGACTTATTTCATCTATTCATGATATGAATTAAATATCTGAGATAGCCAACAATTCAACCACAACCGTAACTGCAGCGCATTGTGTTGGTAAACTGAGACATAACGTATTTCTTCACTACATATCGTCGTGTGACTACTTCATCCCTCCGCGCTAGAAATCCACTTACTTCAACATCGACCAGCAGGTTGGGGGTCTGAAACATCCTGCCCGTCCACAGCATGAGCGAGTCGATCTTGAAGGAGGTGTCGCCACAGCAGCTGCTGTTGGCGGACGAGCCGCGCCGGCTCTCGGGTCGGGCGGCGCTGCTCTTCCGCTTCCTGCCGTCACTGCCCTCCTTCACACTGGGCCGCCGCATGGCCTCCGTCACCGTCAGGATGTTGCTGTCCGACCCGGTGGACCCGCACCTCCTCTGCCTACCGCCCGGCACCGCAGCCGCGTCCACCTGCAGCAGGTCGGCCGTCGGCGGCCGACGCGGCGTCCGCGAGCCCTCCGAGTGTTTCTTGGCCGGCTTTTCGGAGTTGCTGCCGGCCGATGTTTTGCGCCGGCACCCCCACGAGAGGGTGCGGCGGTGAGCGAACTCGGCAAACATCTCCATAGGGGAGCGCGCGCGCGGCTGGCGTTCAGAGCTGGCGGGGCGGCCGACGGCGGCGACACGAGCGACCCGAGCCCGCCGGCGACATCGCGACCCGCCGGCACCGACTGAGCGTCGGGACCGACGGCGTCGGCGGCGCGCACACGGGCCGCGCTCCATCGATCAGGGAGGGACGGGGACCACCAGACACCTCCGAGGGGACCAGCAGACACCTCTGAGGGACCGTCAGACACCCGCTCTGGGGGACCGTCGGACATCTCCGAGGGGACCAGAAGACACCTCTGAGGGACCGTCGGACACCTCTGAGGGACCGTCGGACACCTCTGAGGGACCGTCAGACACCTCTGGGGGGACCAGAAGACACAATGGAGGGTCCACCGAAGGCAAATTTTGCGCACCTAGATCTTCGGACACATAGAGGAAAACCAAACATATTTCTTGGGACCGTCAAATACTCGGAGATTATCAGACGCTCCTTTTAGAAAACATGTATCTCTGTATTAAACACTGGCTCAGCTATATCAGCTATCAGCCAAGAAGTCGGACGACCCTGCACCCCAGACGTTCCTGCCGTCCGTAGGATAGCCACTGGCCGGAGTGTCACTGCCGAACTAGCTAGCTCCATCCTTCCACCGCTGTCTGGTGCAGAACACCGCCACGATAATCACTGCTGCGTGCCATGAGTCTCCCTCGAGTCCCGTCCTGTGCGCTCCTGGGCCGCTGGCAACAGAAGGTCTGTTCCAGGTCGCCCCAGAGGGCTATCAGGCGGCGGCCGTCGCGCGCTTTGTCTCGAGGGAGGGCCAGATGGGCGGCGGCCAGCACCACGCGCCAATATGCGTCCTGTCAGATCAATCTAGCGAAGACGGAACAGGTGCCGCGCGGTACTGAGAAGCCGCAGGGTCGCGGTGCGGCGCGGCGGCCGGCCGGCCGTCCCGCGCGTGCAGTGCGGAACAGTCTACCCCGTCAGGCGTACGACTCGTAGTGACATCTAGCGACTACTTCTGGAACTAATGGAATGCTCTCCAGTGCCAAAGTCCGGTTCAGCTAGACTTTCTCTCTTCCTCGAATGAGTTCGGATGGTATACCGTGGTACTGCTAAGTTCGTTCTATATTGTGCTTTTATAAGCAAACCCAACGGAAATGACGCCATAACTTTGTACGGCGAAGCCAAATATTCCGTTTTACGAGAATAAACAGAGCGATATTACATCAATCAGGAGGCGTGGTGTTTGTCATTATTGCTTCTGGACACAAAGAATCTAATAAAAGTCTGCCATATAGCCTTCATAAAATCATGACAATACCATCGTTAAACAACTGAAATCAGTTGTTGAACTGGACTATGAAGAACTACAATAGCACTTAGAATACCATTGCGTCGTTGTCATGGCATCTGTAACATTGCACTGGCAATCAGGTACTTACGGTTTAACAGGGTTAGGTAGTGATTGCAGTGATTGTAGCATGATAGAACCCAGCAATAAAGTAAGGCGAATTAGGCCAAGACCACTACAAAGAATGGACGCTGACTGCATACCACCAGTTTCCAAACAGGCCGTTCCATTCTCATAAAATACAAACCGACTTCTTGTCGCATAAATCGCCACAAAAACCATCATACCCAAATCGAACTATCAAAGTTCTTCCTCGGATAAATTTAGCCTGGAACCAACCCCTAGCATGAAATAATGCGGTCGGAATGGCCTCAGTGAGTCTGTGGCCGATTTCCATCCATTTTCGGAGCTCTGACTCAGTGAGCCGGAGCGGCTCGGCCCGGTCTGCCCTCCACAAAGGGAGGGTGACGTCGGGGGTCCAGACGGCCGTCTGATTGGTCCACAGACGCAGGTCTGGACGCAGAGGTCTGATATTACCAGACGGTGGTGCAGCAAAATAAGGCAAGGATGTAAAACCGGCAAGGATGTTAGATCAAGATCGGCAAAATACAGACGGTTGCTGGTCGCAAGGTCAATGGTGTGCTTTACTAGACTTCCAATACCAATTAGCTAAGGTATTGCGGAAATTTGATGTCTAGTCGAGATCCGGTTTTCTTACGATCCATGATTTTATATTGTTGTTTGAGCATACCACTTTCGCAAACCATTGCCACCAAGCTTTAATTATTCCAAGGTAGCATGTGACTGCGTAAATACCAAAATATCACGCATTTCTTGCGAAACCGGCTATGGCCTGCATTCCGTCCGGAGAATTTTCCCCGCCGTGCCGCAGGACTCTGCGCTCTGTCACCTCTGTAATCGGCCGGCCGGCCCGCGGCGGGCCGCTCGACCGCTCGGCAGCTCAGTGCAGAGCACGGCCGGCCAGCCGAGATTAGCGGTTCAGCCGGTCCAGGCCGTGATGAGACGGCCGGCGCAGCAAACAGCCGCGAGCGGTGCCGGGTCGGCACGGACGGCAATCACCGCGCCCGCCGCCGGGTCCCGTCTGTACAGTAGGGTACTGCGGCTGGGGTACCTCCGGCGGCAGTGGTACAGAGGTTTGTGGGGTACCAGTTCCCAGCTGGACCACCACGCAAAGAGAGACAGTCTGTCTACGATAACGAACCGCGCTGTAGCGGGCCCAGAGAAGCGCCGATCAATAACGGGAGGTCTCCGCCGCGCGGGCTGTTTTGAATACGCCCAGCCGAACGCCAGTGTCAGCGTTTCCTCGATCGGTCAGGCCTATCAATTTTCGTCGCGCTGCGCCGCGCTGTTTGCTGCTGTCCACGGCTCGGCGGGCAGTGTCGACCACGGCAAACGTGGCGCAGTGAATCGACCCCGCGGCCGGCCGGCCGATCGTGAATTACGGCTGTTTTCGGCGCCCCGCAGGGCACCTGGGCCGTCTGTGTATCCCCACAGCGGTGTCGTCAGGACAGTGATAGTGGCGACCAGAATACCTACACACGGCCAGCTATATTGCGACTATCTGCGACGGGTTTTTAGACCGGTGTCGTAAATCGCGAATCCTTGGAAAGATGAGCGCGTATGAGCTGTCAACAAATATCGCCATATGTGCGCCGGTGATAGGCAGAAAGCGCAACCTCATTAGTTGCACAACGCAACAGGCGGGGCACAACCGTCATTGCCAGGGAATGCAATACAGTTGGACTATAAATGTGTGTCACCAACAGACAATGCTGGTTGCCCGACATTGAGCTAGAAACCAGCCGAGTCAACAGCGCAAATGGTGAGCCCGATTACACCAAACTTATGGCAAAGCGGGTCAAGGGTCACATCAGGCATTTTATGGGACATGTTAATGCTCATTACTTTGAATCCGCTCCATGACACAGCAATAAATCCAATCATGAATAAAACGACTCTGACAAATGGCGTTTGGCACTTATATGGCCTTATGATCCGTGCTAAATAAATGAAAAAAGATGAAGATCTTGAAAAAGAAAGAAAGTAAGTCCAAGACGGACCTGACGACAGGAGTGTCCGTATCAATTTAATCTGAAATGAACATCGCATAATACCCATCATTGTCAAGTCGACAAGCCACGCCTTATCAGCCTTTTTTCTGCTATCCATGCTCTATAGCAGCTGACAAGAGTCATAAATCCACAAGCATTTGGTGCACCAAATTGTCCCTGTTGCGATCCCCCCCCCCCACGACTGTCACTGTTAGTCGGCAGCCCCAGACTGCAGCGCCGGGCAGTTGTCAGGACACCGGCCGAGCTCGAGTGACAGGTCAATCACGGCCACTGGCCACAGTGACAGCTGTGATTCGGTCATCAGTACACGACACACGGGGGCCGCAAACACGGCCAGGGACGCCCACGACCGGCGCAGTGTGCACGGGACGTCGGCGGTGACCTTGCCGTGACCTTGGGATGCTTTAGGACGTCACAGTCCGATGTAAGGTCGTGGAGACGCGTTGTGACCCATCTCGTTGCTCACCGTTTTGACTTATGATACGATACTGTGTTCTGATGAGCATGATCTCATTCATTAATTCATTAAGCATATACAAGGTATTGCGCACCAGCCACAAGCTATTCGGTAATGTCTGTGCACTTCAGCGTATTTCAGCGACAGGCACAGCATAAAGACGTCGTAAAATCAGTAAATCCTCCTTTAATCGCAGGTTTAAATTCTACTTTGTCAACTAAATACGTGTTTAAACTCATCAACTGGTGAGGGTGACGGTGCTTTTGGCGAGTCAATCTCGTTAGAAATGGACAAGCAAAGAAGTAATGAGACCGCGTTCTGGAGCCGCTCCTCGTCTTTAAACACAATTTCATCAAGTGTTTCCCACTCTGGGCAGCGTAATTGCAAGTCTGATTAAGATTCTGCGTGAAGGAAGCCGCGAGATTGTGCCCTGATTGAGTGCATCTGTCGCCTTAATGGCACACGTTCCACTGGGTTGATAAATTTGACTGCCCAGCTTCCTTGCATTCGGTTACACCGTAAATGAAAATATGTATGACATCAGTATTTGCATCGTCGAGTAAAGCGTAAAAATAAACACGAGCACATTCTGAAGTGAAAAGGGAATGCTGGCAATCCAGCTGGCAGGTACTTACATCCTTCTTTTGTCTGTAGCAGGCCTTCCTCCGCGTGAGCTTGTTCCTCTTTTTCTCCTTCCGAACCTCTCTGAAAACAAAAACAAAATGACATATGAGCGCGTTTTGATATAAGCTCCTTTAAGTATTACAAAATGAATATTAAATTGAGTTTGTTAAATTCAAATCATATAGACAAAAAGTAAAATATGACAAACGAAGGACTAATTATCGCAATTTCGTTGCCAGAGATACACCCTACAGATAGTAATTTTGTGACTTTTGTTTATAAGGGTCACACGCCACCTAAATCATAACACATATCAGCAAAGCTCGTTGGTAATCATTAGTTGCTTTTGAAGCATGATCGATTACTCTATGGGTGGAACTCATTTGTAAATTTTCGTTACATGCCTGACAAAACAGCTGACCCACACGCGTCGCTATGGTTCATTTCAGACCACATTGACACACCATATCCGTCCACATCGACATCATAATGCGACGTGGCCTTCAATACCGATGTCGGCACTAATGTATGCAGGTGGGCGGTGGCCTGTGCCGGGGGCTGCGGGCCCGCCGATAGAGGTCGGATCACACCGTCCGGAATCCGCGGAACGGCCGCCGGTTCGCACAATATCCGGCGGCCCGGACCAGCCGGAAGGTCACGTGACCGGCCGCCGGCATGCCGGGCCCACGTGACCGGGCCATGGGCAGATGATAGGAGCGGGGTGGCGCGGGATGTGGGACCACGTGATCGCGTGGATGGTAAGGGTGATAGAGATGGCAGGGGCGGGAGACGATGGGTATCAGGAGTGGAAAGTTAGCGTAGTGTTGCACTTATGAAGTGTGACATTAGGCTTCATGTGGCAAGAAGTCAATGAGATGGCGTTACGTGCCATTCCACACACAATCGTGTTTTTCTGTCCTTCGTAGATCTGTGTTAAACAATCATGCAACAAGCCTCTACCACGCCCCTCCAGGTCCCTCTCGACCCATCCCCTGGTCACTCACAGTCGTGAGTCATCCTTGTCTCTCGGGGGCTGCTGCGCTGCGTCGTCCTCGATGTCCGAAATGCAGTCGATCTGAGCCGGCAGAGAGTACGTGCTGCTCGCGATCTTCTGGTGGGCCAAACCTGGGGAGAAGAACGACGAATGATCAGACATATCGGAGAAATATGGGCTGAGGGCAGCAGTGTGAAAAGCATGAGAACAACAGAGCAGGTAACATACGGCTATGACTTCGATATATCTTCGACACGTAGCAGTGACTATACAATTAATTCAATCAAGAGAGATGTAAGATCAAAGCATATCAGGTTATCGCCCGCTGTAGGTACTTCTGTTCTGGTGATCCTGGCTCTGCGCTCACTGGCCGTGCCACCGCACAGGTAGCGTCACCTAAGGCAGAAACGAGTGCTAGGGTTTCGTAAAACGGCCGCTAGGGGCAGCACCTGCATCTCGCATCATCTTGCCCGATCAGTGTTGAATAAAGCAAGAAACTAGCCGTAAAACGTCGATAGCTGGTGTTTCCCCTTTTTAATCCTAGGCAGCGGTAAAAATGCCCACAAATAAAGCGAGCCGACTTTTCCGTTTTCGACTAGGGGTTAAATTCAAGTCCGAAACAATGGCACCGCACGCGTGCGCGCGGTGACTGCAATCGGCACAGCGAATGCATGTCGTGTGCGAGTAAGCTAATAACAATCCACCCATTACCATCTAAATACCCAGGCCTCTCCTCCCTGCGCTTCGTCGATTCAAAATACTCGCCTGCGTTACTGACGACACATCCCTCTACCCTGAATGGCACCCCCGAGCCGCCAGCACATAACCCGCCACCAGTCAACCGTGTGTGACTTTGCGCCAGTCACCCGTCTGTCATGTCAGCGAGTCACCCGTCTGTCATAGCGTGATTCATTCCGACTGTCATAGCCTGAGTCACCATCCGGTTCAGCTCAGCTGGATAGTCTTGGGTTGTTGAAGGCGTCGTAGATATTCAATAAAGTCCTGAATTCTAAATAACTGCTTACTCAATAGATCATTTGTGGTTATTCGTATGACTCTTGTAAGTTGTAGCAGCTGAAAGTCTGCGTAATATGTGTCCTATCCCTGTTTTGTGATGAGTAAACATTGGTTTGTCTCTATGACCCCACACACTGGCGTGTCATGAACATGAGGAAGGGACCGTGAGGGGTAAGGACCGGCACGAGCAGCCACCCGGGACACAGCCGGCCAAATGACCACCGAACCACCGTCTGACGACCGGCCTGTCTGAGCTGTCAGTCATTAGACGAGCTCTAATGGGGCCTGGTTAGGCGGCGCACCGCCGCGGGCGCCGCCCGGTCAGGTCAGGTCGGGGGAGGGGGCGAGGGAGCGGGGGGTGGGGGTCGGTTGCCGAGGCACGGGCGCAATGAGTTGACACGGCGGCAGCTCGGTCACTATTTGCCGCCGGCCAGGCCACACAGTGACACAGTGGAGCAGGTCAGAGAGGCTGGGCGGCACCGTGTTGCCATGGCAACAGGTGACTATTTCCGCCCGGTGATACACTCCATGATCAGCCTCAGTTTCCGATACAAAGGAATCACCGTGCAAGGAAAGGAACCTGCGGTGATGGGTGAAACTGAACAGCGGGATTCAGTCAAAATTGGTAATCGTCGGCTAGCAAGTACTATCCTCCATCCTGGAAACACTCTATTGTTCATCCTATCTTCAAAAAAGGCGACCCTTCCGACCCTTCTAACTTCCGTCCTATATCCATCATTCCCATCATATCCAAAGTCGTTGAACGTGTCGTTCAGCGGCAGCTCTTTCACTACCTGTCTTCAAACCACCTCCTGTCATCCAACCAGCACGGCTTTCGCCCACACCACTCGACGGAGACCGCGCTGGTGACGGTCTCTGACCACATCCTCACTGCCGCCGACGGTGGGGAGATCACCCTCATGTGCCTGATTGATCTCAGCAAATGTTTTGACGTTGTCGACCACCGAATACTTTTAAACAAGCTACGGCTGAACGGCGTCGACACCGAGTGGTTCGAAGCGTATCTCTGCGGCCACACACAAAGTGTTTCACTCCGTAACGCCGCGGGTGCCGACAGTGTCTCACGGCCGCTGCCCAACTCCATGGGAGTTTTCCAGGGCTCGGCGCTCGGGCCGTTACTTTTCACGGTGTTTGCCAATGACATGTCACCATACGCCGAGGGTGCTACGGTGGTCCAATACGCTGACGACACCCAGGTGCTAGTCTCAGGTAAAAAGAGCGAACTACCAACGCTCATCTCCAACTTGGAGACATCTCTGGCCTCTCTGGATCAATGGTTTACTGCTAACGCCCTTAAGGTGAACGCGGGTAAAACAGAGCTGATTGTTTTTGGTAGCCGTCAAAATCTCCGCGATTTTCCAAAATTTACCGTCAAATTCTGTGAAACCAGACTCGTTCCCTCTGACCAAGTCAAGAACCTCGGAATACTCTTCGATAAACACCTCACCTGGGACAGCCACGTGGATGCCGTCAGCCGCCGCTGCACAGGGACTCTCCTTGGTCTCTCACACGTCCGCCACATGGTACCCCGTGGCATAATCACTATGCTCGTGTCAGCCCTGGTGCTTACGCAGGTTCGCTACTGCATATCTGTCTACGGCAATGGGTCAAAAAAGAACGCAGCAAAAATTCAAAAGATTTTGAACTTTTCCGCTAAAGTCATTTTTGGTAGGCGGAAATTCGACCACGCTGCGGACCTGCGGGAGCAGCTGGGCTGGTTGGAAGCCCAGCAGCTAGCTGACCAAAGCACGATCTGTCTCACACACAAAGTGTTCCGAAGTGGAGAGCCTGAATCGCTGGCAAATGTCCTCCGTCTGAACGCGGCAGTACGACACCGTACTACCAGGCAGGACGGTCTGCTGCACGTGCCGCGCTTCAGAACCGAGACCGGCAGACGACGCTTTTGCACCAGAGCGCCAACACTGTATAACCGGCTGCCACCGGACGTGACTGCTCTCGACGGGCAGCGCTTCCGACGGGCGTTGAAGCGCTTTCTTGCCCGTGATTGTACTGAATGACATGTCTGCAAGCATCGACGTACGTTATGTGAGGACGCGTGGCAGAGTGTGTATATGTGTTCAATTTATATGTTGACCTTAGAATGTACTGCATCGCTCCCCCTGATGACTCGGAGCCATAATAGCCACTGCTGCTGTGGAGTGCTCCTCAACAGAAATACAATACAATACAATACAATACAACCGAAAGAACCGGTTCAATCAATCAATCAATCATGTATTGAGTCCTCCATGTGAATGGTTTTTCAGTGCTCTCGTCATACAATCATTCACAATCTATAAAACTACAAGTGGGTATAAAACACACATCAATAAGAATGACGCACAGTATAAAAGTAAAGAGAATCGTCTGTACCAGTAAGATACTCAGATGGCAAAATGTGAAGTTAAGAATGCACAATACGCGGGTAAAAAGTAGACAAAGTAAATAAAAGTGAGCAGCGCAAAAAAAAAATCATCACAAAATACAGGGTGATTCATAGCCGTGTGACCGAAAATAAGTGAAAACTACAGGAAATGCTTTCGTGTTACATGCGGTTGCCAAGTACCATATGAAACTGCCAAATCTGAAGTTTTGATCCATGTATTGCATTAGTCATATACACTTCTCCTTTGACGCTCACACTTCTTTTAGACAAGATGCTCAAAATGGCTATCTCGGCGACGGATGCACTATGTACAGCACCAGAGCCGTAAAGTTGGCGATGGCGCGGGCGCACCACATGTCTAAGGAAATGGAGCCAAACAAGCTTGCAATGGCGTCCTTCAGCCGCAAATATCCTGGGGACTCCCCTAATAGACCTCGGGCTTTGCATAGCCCCAGAGGAAGAATTCTGCGACGTTGAGATCCGGCGGGTGTGGCGCCCACCGGACCTCAGCGCTGTTTGAAATCAACTTTCCGGGGTTCGCCTAGCAAATGTTTTCTGCCGTGTTTATCATTAAACCGTGCCCTTTGTTTTGAATTTATTAACGATTCTATTAATTGTTATCTTCCTTGGAGCTTCCTAGGGTGCAAACCCTCAGACGTGCAAAAATATCTTGGCGTTTGCTTAACGGACTGCGTTAACTTATACAAATTACACATTTTTACATTTTGCTGCACTGTGTACATCTTGAGCGATACACACAGACCAGACCAAGACAGAACAAAACTTCATAAAATTTTCTACTAGGACGTGAAATTTCACGCGAAAATATGCAATAGTCTTCTCAAGAGAGATCAACTAAATAGGTTACACGGCTATGAATCACCCTGTACATCACAGCTTGTTTGCCAGAATGCTAACGATGGAGACCGTTCCACGATTTTACTGCTCTAAAATGAAAAGTACGCCTGGCTCGCTCTGTTCTAATTTTAGGCAGGTCCAGCTGATCCCCACATGTGCCGCGAGTGAGCCTCCTATTCACATCAGAGCGACGCATCACGAGTCCAGCTAGAGATGGCGGCGCATCCGACGAGAGAATCCTACGCAGCATCGCTATGTCTCGGTCCTCCAACATCTTGTCAAACTTCGGCCATTCGAGAGCTTCCAGAGCTGCGCTAATGTGGTCGCGTTTAGACAGTCCTGTTACAATGCGCGCCGCGAAGTTAATGGCCTTCTGCACACGTCGCCTCTGGGTTGCGCAGCAGCCTCCCCAGACGGTACAACAGTACATTATGTGGGGGAATACAAGGGCCTCGATAAGCATCTTTTTTACTTCATACGGTAGCTTATGTCTCAACTTAGATAGGCCGACTAGTACATGGTAGCAGCGGCGGGTCACCAACGACACCTGCTTCTCCCAGGTCAGTGAAGAGTCAAAGAACACGCCTAAAATTTTGATCTCGTGACTAGGTTTAATTTCGCAAATGCCAAAGTCAATAGTAAAATTTGCACTACATATTTTTCTCTGCGGCTTTACTAGCAAAAGTTCAGTCTTAGTAGGGTTGATTTTTAGCCTGTTCTGGGTGTACCATCGGAGAGCCACCTCCAAAGTACACTCCATACGCCGTTTTAGGTCGTCCAAATTAGAAACCGTATCAGAGTCAATAAACTGAATGTCATCGGCGTACATGACCTGCTTGCCACTGGGTAAATGAGACATAAGGTCGTTAGTAAAAAGTAAAAACAATTTTGGACCCATTAGTGACCCCTGTATCACGCCGTGTGTCACTGGTAGTGCCCCAGCGCCGCTACCCTGCATCCTCTGACTTCTGCCGTACAACCAGTCACGAAACCAGTGATCGCTCACGCCGTACCAGCCTAGTTTTACAAGCAACCGCTCATGTTAACATCATTGACGTTCCAATCGGACCATTTGCATAAATTGCGCATGTATATGCCTCCAAACAAAAACTTACGGCAACTTTTAAACAACATATCGAAATCATTTCTTATACGGAAAACAGCTTCTAAACTTTTGCTCTCGACCAATATTATTGAGCGTTTCCAGAGATGATTGGATGTGAGCCCACCGACGTAATTCCACCTATATTGACGTGGTCTACGCCGTAGAAGGGTCATCACACAGAAAACCCGATCAAATATCATTTACCGAGACATTCGTTAGACGTAGCTCCGGCGACTTATTGGGATTTCCTTTCCTTCGGGGTCACCGTCTAGTGACCGGGCCAATTCCAAGAATTGGAGCATATGTTACCATGAGACAATACTCTACATCGAAGAACGTCAAGACACGCATTATACGATAAGGGATTATTCATTGATATCACGTAACACGAATGCCGAGAAATGCCAACTGCACAAGTCCATTGTCAGTTGTCACCCTAGACGGTACGATCTTGTGTAATAGCAGATCCTGCTACGATGACGGTCGACTCATTCCTTCAAAATATGTATGATGACTGCATATCCAAACCCTACGTAAGCACGCATATGTGTACATTCATGGAAGTACGTAATAGGTATGCGATATGCATGCATGTATTTATCATATCGCCCAGAACTGAGTCCGTCAAAAATGATAAACCGAATGACTTAAGCGTTGGCTCACACTCCAAACTAACAAATTAATTCCCCACGTCAACCTGCGACGTGTCTAGACCTGACTTCACCACATCTCAAACTCACTGAATAAATCGCACCAAAGCAAATCGCACCGCACGGCGGCGGCTATCTTGGCCTCGTGCCCGCTGTCTAATCGACCTTCCGGCCTGACTGCGCCGCATTCCTTAATCCTTCGGCGCTGGTGTGCACAGGTTTTCACACATCCCCGCGGGCGGCGTATTCTCGTGTCCGTTCGACTGGGCCCCTCCTACGCACGCCGCGCGCATTGTTGCCGACCTCTGAGGCCCACGCCAATACCAACACTCGCTTAGCGGTGCGCTGGAGCGACTAGCGTAGTGGTGGGTCTGTTAGACCCTACACGGCGTGATGAGTGGTCGTGGCTCACCGTGACCCCCAACAGACGAGGTGGGACGGCGGGCGCCTCAGCGAGTTTTGCCTGTAGTGGCACAGCCCTGTCAGCTGTCCGAGTGGAGGCAGGGAATCGGAAACGGGTCCAGGGTGGGAATCTGGGTGACAACGGAAGCTATAGATTCCGAGTTATGGTATTGAACAGCTAAGGATTGGTATGCTACAATGAAATAAAAAGCAGTAAATCATTTCTATTGAAGAAGTTATCAGTAGATATAATCAGGAGATATAATATCAGGCGAATCGAATACTTTTTTAGGAATATTTCCTTACCAGGAGCATATATTCCACAACAAACCATATTCCACTTTCTTCCAAAGACTTCACAAGTCCACAACTGACACCACTAACAGAGCTGAAGCACCAAAGTAGCGGCTATTTGACCTCTGATCACCTGCTCAGAGCTCAGCAGCATTTAATTCACGCGGAGATGAAACCAGATACGGCGCGGAAATCCGTCTCCCGACGACACGTGACGAAACTGTGACGGATCTATGACCGTTCGTGACGTCACGACGCTGGCAGGTAACCACAGCCGGCACACAGCACCGGTCACCTGCCGGCTATTCGAGATGGCGCCTAGTGCCGACCCTCGCCGTTTTCACGCTGCAACTCTCCTCAGGTTGGCAGGGCAGTGTTGGTCTCCTACATAAAACCCCTCAGCGAATACAGCGGTTTACAAAGTCGCCTCACGTCATCGACGAGTGTGAGCTACTTCACAACAGCCTATTGTAAAAGTTTTATGACCAGCTACCGGATTTTTTACTGCACTATGCTCGGCTACAAAACTTTTCGCTCCTTTGCTAAAACCTACGGTGTAACGTTGAAAGCACCCACTTCTTTGGTTGCCCCTAGATCATAACCCGTAAGGGATTGCTAGGCTTGCAGCCGTCCACAGCGTATGCACATCAGTCAGGCTCGACAGAAGCTGAACAGCCTTTGAACGACGCTTGCACTGGGTTGGTGCCAAATGCCAAACATTACTACATTTTTTATGGAAAGCATGTGAGGTGTTTATTGATTATGGCTCGTTCCGACTGCCGATAAATTTCAAAACAGCTCAGGTCATGTCGGTACGGTATTTCATTTCAAACTACATTCCATGTATGCTGCGCAAGCAACATGAAGGGGAAGGTCGGTAAATATGATTCGTCCTTTCAGCCTGTCTTTCCTGTTCTGTCCTGTCCTGTCCTGTCAGTTCAGTTCAGTTCAGTTCAGTATATTTTGGTAACCAAGACCTGTATGTTCTGTATGTCCTGTCTATCTCGCCCCATTTGTCCTATCTCCCTCACCCTGTTCCGTTCTTGTCCTGTCTGTCCGTCTTAGTCTGTCCCGCCTGTCTCGTTTGTCCTGTTAGCCCCTTCGTCTGTTTGTACTGCATGTCCTGTCTCTCCTGTCCTGCCCTGTCTGTCCCGTCTGTCCTGTCTATCATACCTGCCCCTCTTTTCTCCTCCACTCACCTGGGGAGAGCGCGAGCTCGATGTGCTCGCTCTGCGGCCGGCTCCTGCCGCGACCACTCTCTTCCACCTTCTCCTGACCAGAGGAGCTGGCTGAGTGGCTGCTGTAGCCGTTTGGACCGATCTGAAACGCAGAAAAAGACATTGTCAGAGAGGTGTGTACTGTGTGGCATGGCGGCGAGAACACTGATCAACAGGAATGCCAGATATATAATCTATCACTGGGAATAAAACGCATTGCGAGAAGGAGGAACGAATAATCGCGTGGCTTGGGTGTCCTCAAATCTGTCATGAAAGTGATAACTAATCGGATCGGAAACCACCGGACGTGTTGTGCGCCGATTTCCTGTGCCAATATTGGCTGACATCTCAGCGGACCGATCAGCTGATCGGCCAGGGTTCGGCTGATTCCTGGTCAGATAGGCGACACCAATCGCACCAATCCTTCTGACTAACGGAATGACAGCTCACTAATCGTCTGACCAACGAGCTAAGAGATTACCAGCCTGCTGACCAGCGGTATGTCGGCATGGTATTTCGCCTAGAACTCTGATCAAGGAGAAGTCAGCTCACCAACCCGTTTAACCCGCGACCGCCTGGGGGGGTCGGATCCGACTAGAGATGTCAATCGGATACCAACTTTTAGGTATACCGATACCAAACCGATACCAACTTGGTATTTGGTATTTCGATCTTAATGTGTTTGGTATTTTGTTGGTATCATGAATCCTCACTAATGTATAAGAGGCTAAGAAATCGGTAAAAAGTTGGTATTTCTCTCATGTTCCCAAGTTGGTTTGGTTTCGGTATTTCCCCATGGTTTTGGTTGGTATTTGGTTTGGTATCGGTATTACGATTGTCTGTAATTGACATCACTAGATCCGACCCCCCCTCCGTTTTTCTTGGATAACTCATGAACCGCTTGCGCTATCAACTTGAAACTTCGCATACCTTCTCCCCCATCAATTTGACGTCTCCTGTGCAATTTTTAAGAAAAAAATTTCAAAAAATTCTGAGATATATCGATTTTAGTGATGTAACTACATGGCGTTTTCAGTCAAAAAATGGTAAATGTTTGAAAAATCGCCAAAAATCGAGGTTTTAAGCAAATTGCAAATTAAGGACATGAAAAGACGCAACTCAACGAGTTCTTTAAAATGGCTATCTCGGATTTTCCATAAAATGTGTTTTTCACCCCTAAAAATTCAAAAAACTATATTTTTTGGAAAACAGCTAATAAAATCCAAAATTTTGAGAATTTCCAAAAAACCGGAATATATGTTATAGAGCTCTATTAGAACATTAGATGTCCCAAATTTCAACTTTCTATCTTGATTTTTGACCCCCAAATTGTAAAAAATAGCTCCAACATGCATAGGGCAAAGGGCATGGTGACGTCATAAGCATTTTCGCGAATTAGAGGCACTTCTGAACATCGCATGTGAAAACAAATGGCACCACTAGATTCCTGGGACAAAGCTCGTCTAGAAAAGCGCATTTTTATGTCAAAAATAAAAAGTTGAAAAATTGAATTTTTTTCTTAGCCCTCGTTTAGTTATGTATGGTATAAACGATTTTTTATGCTTTCAATGCACACTTATCACCAGCACAGTGACTTGGGGTCACATATAACCATTACCATCGGATTTGGCGTGAAAAATAAGCCATAAAACATGTGTCGCACGCCCATGTAGAAAGTGAAAGTGAAAAGAAAGTGAAAACCGTGACCTTTCGTGACCTGACCTGACCTTGACCCGTACTTAGTATGACCCCTATACGCACATGGTACCTTCACTAGGTCTTTGAGGTCATTTGTGGTGAGTTTCGAGCAGCAGCTATCGATTCCGCTGTCCGTAAGCCTAATCATGCAAAACCCCTGAATTTGACCTTTGACCTGACCTTTACCCGAAAGTTGACCTCAATCTTAAAATCTTAAGAGTGCTTTGGGAAGGTCTCGTAGAGACCTTTCGAACGCCGCCTCGCGGGGCTCGATACGACCATTGGTTCTCGAGATAACAGGGGGGGGGGTCGGATCCGACCCCCCCCAGGCTGATGTGGGCACGGAAATAGCCCAGGCGGTGCCGGGTTAACAGACTGTAAAACGCATTATCCAATATCCATCTCACCAACACACTAACCAACACCTTTCTCAGAGGTCTGAGTTCTGACCAACTGTCAGAAATAACGAGGAACACATCCCCAGTACCGGCAGAGGGGGCGACCTGTGCCGGCTCAGTCAGCGTTCCTATAACGTTCGATCGATTTTTAGCTACGTGGCATATCGCAGGATCCACTATCAGTGTTCTGGCGTAGCGCTGACTGGCAGCGAAACGGCCCCGTCAGATTTCCAGGATAGTTCCCCTAATGCCAAGCATTGCAAAGCATCAATTTCCAACGCAGAGTAGTTGGGATTGTGATATGCTTGTAGGTAAACACGAAACAGGCAAGTGATAGTTATTTACAGGTTTTCCTTCATTCATTGCCTTGTCCAAATAGGGTAACCTTTTGCGCTGCAACATTCAACTTGCATGCCATGTCCGATGCAAGCCGCAAGAATGGTGCACACATCTGTGAACATTAAGGAATGTCATAGCCTGTGCTTTATTATCAATACGGTTTATCAAGTGTCGAGATTCATGACATCACCTGAGCAAATACGGCCCACCCGTGACAGTCTTTATCAGCGCTGCTCCAGCCATACTGTCGGCGGGATGTGTGTCTGTGGGGGTCCCCCTTTTTCCATTGTCGTATCTGTCGGTAACGTCGTCGAATTGTGTCCCTCTGTGGTCGTCGATTTGTCCAACACCGTTTACTGATGAAGACTGAGATAAGAGGTCATTATGACTGCGTCTAAAGGAAAGGTGTCAGCACAGTTGACCAAAACACAAATATCAGTGCAAGCAACTGTATTCCACTGTAATGTTTATCGCAATGTTGATTTCATAATTGGCCTTTTATGAATAGAACCTAGATAAGTACGAATAATACACAATACACATAATTCATAATGACTTGCGATCAGATGGTAACAAGATATACGTTAACAAAAAAGCTGAGTACTCGGTCTAATGTCCAAACAGACGTCACACAATGCTGCGGAATGCGGCACACGCTGGGCGGGAACGTCTGCTAGCGAGGTTGTCACTATCAAATACCAATCGCGGAGGACAACACTCGACAACTGTTTTATGAAGCCGTCTGTTTAACAGATAGCCAAGTAGGATGGGAACTATGATTGTCGAGCATGTGTCCTACAACAGGCTCCGCAGTGCCTACTTATCATCTGGTTTACATAATGGTTTAGTCGCTATCCGTGTAATATTTTTTAGGGATAAAGAATATCACGCATGTTAGAATGTAGCAACGTGCAAACAAAGTTATTACATCCATTATTTTATGCAAATAATATGTTGCATTAAAGTATTGTTACAACATTGACTACTATGGAAATTTTAAGCAAAAAATAAATAGGTACTCATGCGTCTCTCTATGACAAAAAAATAAACAAAAGATGGCAGGCAGCAATGCATGAATACTTCTGTGGCCCTCTCCATATAAAACCCGACTCTGCTTCTTACGCAGCGATCGCCAGAGGACGACTCCGTTCACGACGCATTAACCTTTGAGGAAGTTAGCGCTATTAAATCATATCTGCCAGCCGATTCAATTACAGTTCGTGGCAGAACGAATTCAGTTAGCTCGCCTGGTCTCAAACGAAATAAAAAAGAATGAAGGCGCAATAAATGCCCTCTATCCTGATGTATAAGACACAATTCCTAGAAAGTTAAGCAGCTCGAGTACAGACGTTTGCAGAAGGAGATTAATGACTACGAAAAGCTAGGAAAAGCACACCAGATAGCATCTATTGGGCAATACTCAAATAACTGAAGTCCATACACATATCGAGATGTGATGACAAAATCACTGCTTTTGGTTTTGCTGGCAGATGTTTCACACATCCTCCAACATTCTTATCCACCTGCATGTGAAATAAATGCCACCAACCTCCTCGGAAGCATGAAATACCAGTTTATTGTTTCAGCCACTGCCCTAGAGCGCACGTCAGAATTGAGCCCGACAAAAACTCGTGACCAAGTCGTTATAGGAGCTAGCTTGTTTCAAACAGCGTCCGAACTTGGAGCGAAACTTTATGCTACAAAAAAAAACTCAGTCGAATGCGTGGAACGAAAATGCTCGCACGCACTACCAAACCTACAACTATTCGTTGATTTTTGAGACCACTGACCATGGTTAGGGTTTGATCCGGGGCGATGTTGCTCAATAAGCACAAGAGACAACAAGGAAGTATCCACAGCGCCTGTCCCTAGAAACCGCTGACACCGCCTTTCAGCTAATGTTCTGAGCGCTGACAATGGGGATGAGTGCAGCGAATGACTTCTAAGAACGCATCCCATCGATGAAGAGCCCTTCATCGGTCTACTTGTATTTGTATTCCTTGTCAAGTCCCAAGGAATACAAAGGAAGCATTGCAGCATTGGTCTTTGAGATAGACTGTATCCATCCCTTTGCGGCTAGTATATCCCCGGTGCCAGCTACTTTGCCCCACCAGACTGATTAATGTGATCAACTACACACAAATAAGAAAATAATTGAAACAATATAATGCAGTTCCATAATGCAGTGATGTCCTAGGGTAGCTAGAGTTAACTGATACTAGTTTAGGTACATGATATTTATGCATATGGACCTAAACAGATCTATTGATTAACAACTAAAAGACTGCAGCATCGTTAACTAAGAGGCAAGTGCATGTGTTTGGTATTTGTGTTCGAAAAATTAAAACGATCTAAGGCATCAACTTTCAAACGGCAGGTCCAACTGCGCAGATTCGAGAAACGGCGGGTCCCTTTTTCAAAGAAAAAGTCTCAGGCTTAAACTCAGGATCAGGGATATAGTGTCCTCTGTCCAGGTTATAATGATGGCATCCGCAAACTCACAAAGCATACTCACAAGACTGGCCAGTTTGTCGCTCCATTTGCCTATCTGGTGGGCCGATTGAGATCTGGCCACGGGTTTCCGCACGCGATGATCCGTTCGTCTTCCGGAGTCGACTGTTTCTTGGGGTGTTTCGCCAAGACTCTCCTCTTTCGAGTCTTCAGACTC